GTTTTGGGGGCTTTGGGGGCCTTTCTTCCTGCAGGGAGGCAAATGTTGCCTAGTGATCTACGTCTGAGCATAGGAGTCAGGAACTCTAAGTTCTAATCATGACTCTGTTTAGTATCTGGTTCCATGATCCTTAGCAAGGCACTTACCCTTCTACACCTCCACTCCCTTACCCAACAAATGGTGATAAAAATAATGACTTATCACCCAGGGACGTGGCAAAGTGAAAGAGTAAGAAGGACTGTGATCCATAGATAAATGTCGAGTATAAAATGTCAGTATAAATCTGCCTTTAAATCGACCCATGTTTTAGGACTATCGGAAGCTACACTGTTTAAGTGCAAGCTGCCTCCCCAGTGCCCTTTCTGCCTGCAGAGGAAGTGGAAAAAGCAGACTCCACAAAGCTCTGTTCAGGTCTTTTCCTCTCAAACTACATGCTTCTCTCTAAACATTCTGCTCATTCTTCGGTTAATGGCTTAGAAACCAACAAAGTTTCCATTTTTACTTAGTTGAAAGCAATCCATGTATCTGTAGGGTAAGAAAGAAACAGACAAAGGAAAGTGAAATCACCCACCACTCCCTGTCACATCACCAAAACAAAGAAAAAGGTGATGAAGTCAGCTCCACAGAAACACAGCAACAAACATGCTACTGGGTTCTATTATTATTGTTATTGTTGCTGATGCTGTTTTCAGGCTTTCAGGTGGAGGCTACTTTAAGAGAATGTTGATTCATCAATTATGGAAATTCTTTCTACATGTCCACTTACCCATACCCATTTATTTATTCATTCAAGTGTTTTCTGAACCCCTATTATAAGCCAAGTAGTGTGCTGAGGATAAAGCAATTAAAATAAATAAAAAATAAAATAAAATAAAATAAAAAACAAACACGGGCCTTGCTCTATAGGAACTTTTTTAAGAGGAAAGAAAGATACTTAAATCATTATACAGACTTATGCAAACTCCGCAAAACAATGCAGTATGCTGAAATAGAAACCCAAAACCCATAGGAAGACACAGAAAATAAAACATAGGGGCCAATGTAATCTTTAGCCTCAAAAAGTTCAGAAAGGAAACTGTGAAGGTATAGTTCCCAGGAGGAATACAGTATGATCAATAAATTTTAAAAATATATTAAAGCAGATAGTAAATGTGAAAATGGAATTAGGAGGCCATGCAACCTAAAAGTAAGACAGAGTTTCTTTTTTTTTTTAATGTTTGTTTATTTTGAGAGAGAGAAAGAGGGAGCATCCTAGCAGGGAAGGGGGCAGGTACAGAGAGAGGGGGAGACTTCCAAGCAGAGCCCAACGCGGGGTTCGAACTCAAGTAAAACTGAGATCATGACGTGAGCCAAAACCAAGAGTCAGCTGCTTAACTGAAAGAGCCACTCAGGTGCTCCAAGGCAGGGATTCTTAAATGATCATGGATGGCTTCAGGGGGGGGGGTCCATGAATTCTCTAAAATTATATGCAAAATACATATGTGTAAATGGGCATTTTTCTGGACACAAAGATCATCTTTCATTATATTCTCAAAGGTAAAGACCTATTTCCTGGGATCTGCTCATTAAACCAAGTTTTCTATTGCTATAGAGAATAGTTTTAAGACCTAATCTTTTACCTTGAGGCTAAAATAGGAGATCTAGGTAGCCTAGAGGTCAGAGAAAAGCTTTTGAACTTTCCGTAACTTAGTGAAAAATAGTGATTGCTAAAAAGGGGGCAATGAGAGAGGCAGGACTTATCCCTTTCCCTATTCCATTTGAAGTTAGCCTAAATATATTTCCCCACATACTCAAATACATGGTGACAGGCATCATATAAATAGACAATGGCAGCAGGTAGTAGGTCAGGGCTTGTATCTGCAAAACCAACATATTAGGCAGGATCAAACCTGCAATTAATACAGCTGCCTCCTCCTCGTCCACAAGACCAAGCCTAGGAATTCCATATGAGAATCTGGAAGGGGATCTCTGGCCACTTCCCCAATAACAAAGAGCGACTGACTATAGTCAAACAGCAAAGGAATAAAAATCACCATTCTAAGCGCAGTGATACTACACACCCACGTTCCAAATGACAAAAGGCATTTGGGCCCTAGCCAACTGCTTCCTAGACACCCAACGGCTTCTGTGTGTCCAATATAACAACACATACCTTATCAGTTTTACTTACAAGTAAAATTCAATTAAAGTTTGCAGCACAGGTATGGCAAGCATCTATACACATGAACATATTTTCCATTGTGAGGTTCAAACATCTCTAGCAAATCCCTAAGCCTAGAAGGTAAAGAAAGAGTAAAAACATGGGCATACCAACATATGAGGGGTACTGCCAGCCAAGGAGTGGGTGGATCTACCACAGCCACATTTATATTCACTGATTGCAATATTATACATTATTATGGGCTCTGATGCATCAGATTAGTGTAGTATTTTGCAACTTTCCTTAACACCTGCTGCTCGCCATCTCACCATACACTCTGTGTACGAACACACGGAGCCAGGGTTCCAGAAGGCTCACCCAGTCTGTATAGGCAAAAGACCTAACATCATTTGGCAGAGAACTCTAGTTCAAGTGCCGATGCCTCAGGAACAAGAAGTCGTCCAAGCATCACTACAATGACCCTCGTATACATCTCCTCTCAACCTATCAAGGACCAGAGAATGCCAATCAATCAGTCCTGGGATAGCACATAATTCGGAACAGAGCTGCACATGACAGAAAGTACTCAAAGACTTAAAGTCACTGACCAACACAGAATAAAAAAGGTCTCCCACACAATTTCCTAGACAGAATGGGGAAATGCTAAGATCAAGAAAAGATAGATATAAAATTTTTAATCTCTTTAAAAGATAATGCCTCTTTTTTATTTTTTATTTATTTATTTTTTTTATAGGAGAGAGAGAGACAGCGTGAGCAGGGGAGGGTCAGACAGAGAGAGGGAGTCACAGACTGAAACAGGCTCCAGGCTCCGAGCTGGCAGTCAACACAGAGCCCGACGCGGGGCTCGAACCCACGAACCGCAAGATCATGACCTAAGCGAAAGTCAGACGCTTAACCGACTAAGCCACCCAGGCGCCTCATAATGCCTCTTTTTTAATGTTTATTTATTTCTTTTAGAGAGAGAAAGAGAGCACATGCTCAAGTGGGGGAAGGGCACAGAGAGAGGGAAACCGAGTATCTCAAGCAGGCTCCACAGTATCACAGCGCAGAGCCTGACACTGGGCTCGAACCCACCAACTGTGACTTGAGCTGAAACCAAGAGTTAGACATTTAACTGACTGAGCCACCCAAGTGCCCTGATAATTGCCTCTTTAAACAAAAAGGATGGCAATGCATTTTGGGGTTTACAACATATGCACAAGTAGAATGTATGACAGGAGTAGCACAAAGGACACGATAGTAAAGGAAGGAGAGTAATGGAGCCCCCCAGCCCCCAGGGAGATAGACTGGGGTGAATGGTAAATGGCAGCGTGGAAAAGGCAATGCAACACAACAGCGAGGAAGAGCACTGCAGGTGACAGGATGGGAGAAAAGCCAGAGAGATCCCGAGGAACAGAGACAGGATGAACAGGATAAAAAAGGAAAGTGGAAAAAAGAGAAAATCAACCCAGGAAAGAATCAAAAGCAGGTAAAAACTATTGCTACCAACTCGTTAATACTACAATGGGCAACTTCACCCCAGTTATAGACATAAACCATTTGCACTCGTAAGTGCTACAACTGTACCAACATCCACAGATTTGTATCATTTTTGTGTTTTCTCTTTAAACCTAAATTGTTAGAACCTCACAATCATATAACTATTCACAGGCAACCACAATAGTCCTATATATTGTGCCTACCCAGGAGATTCTACTACCTTCCATCATTTCAGTCCCTTTTGATCTCTTTAGATCTTCTGATATTCCTTCAATCTCAAACTCTCACACTCATACTCTTTTCTCCTAAAATACGAAAATGCCATTATTGCCACTTAGTGTTTTTCTCCTATTCACCCTTCACCACCATTGCCAATAACTGCAAAGAACTTGCTAATCCATTAATTAAAGATCTCTACTTCCCATTATAGAGGGCTAAATTTAGAAAGCCAAATTGGGTTGGGAGGAAACCATGTGTCACAACAAGTGAGATGAATTCCATGGGAGGGGGTGGGGTTACTGGCCTGCTTCTCATAAAGGCTCTGACACTAACACACCCTCCTCTGTAGAGAACAGAGAGGAGCCCTCTCATGGGTGGGGCAACCATTCATCACTGTAATCATCTGAAGAAGACTTTATTGTACCATCAGGTCACAAAAGCCACAGGATCTATCAGCAGGCAAACGCCTCAGGGAGCATGTCTCCTCTGCTTTCCTGAAACCTCCAATTTAGTTACACAAAAGAAAGGGGTGGCAAATCTGCATTAATTATACCCTTAGAGAAGAACCACTTCCCGCCAGCAGGGGTGGCTGTGACTTTACTAGGCTACCAAATGGATACAAAGACAAAAGTAAACACTGTAATTTGCTGTTTTTGTCTCTGGCACAGGGGGAGTGGTACAAATGACACTGTCTGTAAACAGTAATATTGCCAGATGTAACACAAAGAACAGGATTCCCCCCATCTCTCCACCCCCTCCCCGCCCCCTCTCCCTATGACATTCCTCCTGAGATTACTCATCTTAAGGAAACACAGAAGACTCCCTATAGTCCATATGCTGCTTCCACATGGAACGGAGGGAGAATCCAAGTTTGTACGGACTCCTCCTACCTCACTCTTACTCAGAGCAAGAATCATTAGAACTCAAGAGACATTCAATTGTTTCTACCAGCTAAAAAAAAAAAAGGGGGGGGGGAGAAGGAATTTCAGAGAAAGTACAGTATATGTGACATGCCCAGGTCTTGTTAGCAGCATCCTAAATGAACTAAAAAGTTAAAAAAAAAAAAAAAAAATCTGTGCCTAGGCCTAAGGGGCTCATAAAAGATATAGGGAAAGAGGATGAATTCAAAAGAGAAAGTTACCTGACCAGAGTTCCCGCCAGGTATAATGCAGGCGTATTCTACACTTCTTCTGGTAGCAAAGTAGTTTATGTACTACCTGAATGCAGCGTCTGTAACAGAGAAAAACTGGGATAAGCCTAAGAGTCTGATGCAACTCACTGCAGATACCCTTTACTTTAGCAATTCAGCTTCACTAAAGCCACGAAAGATGCTGGATATGAATTTGTACACATGTCAAAGAAAGACACTTCAGCTTTTAAATTGTACCCCCCACCCCTCCAAGCCCCCACACACAATGCTTGTGCTAATTCCCTTTGTCACCAGGAAAAGAGGGCTATAATCACATATAGGTCAGCAGTTCATTAGGCATCAGTGATACCGCTCCCTTAAAAATCTTTCCCCAGAGGAAAGCATATATCAGTGAAGCAGAATTAGACTACTCTGTTCGATGTTGCAAACACAGGATACAAAAATACAAAATTAAAGAACTTAAGTCTTCAGATCTATTTAATTTTTAATTTAAACTTTAAAGTAGATTTTGGCTTAATTCATAATTAAATTGTATTTACATTAAGAGTTAAATTAAAAATTCATTCTTCGGTTGCACTAACCACATTGTCAAATGCTCAACAGCCACATGAGGCTGGTGGCAACAATACTGGACAGCACAAACATACAGAACTTTTCTATCACTAAAACTTCTACTGGATGGTACAATTCTAGATCACTGGAATATTCAACATTACTCACATCACAATAACATATATGTTTGGGGGAGTATCTCCAAATAAGCAGCAAATAGGTTGAGGTTGAGAGGAAAGGCATTTTTAAACATTATAAACCTAACAAAAAAAGTTTTTTCACCTCTGATTGGGGGATGATTTTGAAAGCATAACAAGCCATGGAGGAAAGTACAAAGATGAATACTCATGAAATTTACTTTCTAAAAATGAATACCTTGTGTGATTTTTTAAATTACATTAAAGCCAAATCATATGGGAAATTACACTTGTAGCAAAAGATACCAAAGCATTACTGTGCTTAATGTATATGTTTATACAAATTGATAAGAAAAAAAAAAATAACACCCCTAATAAAAAAGAGGGGCAGGGCCAGCAGGGTGGCTCAGTCGCTTATGCGTGCAACTTGATTTCAGCTCAGGTCATGATCTTACTGTTGTGGGATTGAGCTCCATGTCAGGCTCTGTGCTGAGCGTGGAGTCTGCTTAGGATTCTCTTTCTCCCTGTCTCTGCCCCTCACCTGCTCGCGTGCACGCACTCTCACAAAATAAACATTTAAAAAAAAAAACTTGCAAGTGAATGCTGATAGCAGCATTATTCATAATAGCCAAAGATATAAACAACACAAATGTTTAGCAACTAATGAATGGATAAATAAAATGACATCACACATCGATACAATGGAGTATTAATCAGGCAGAGAATGGAATGAAGCATTAACACATGCCACAACATAGGCATAGACAAACCTTGAAAACATTATGTCACAAAAGGTCACGGGGTATATGGTTTCATTTATATAAAATGTCCAGAATAGGCAAACATATAGATACAGAGAGTAGATTGGGGGTGGAGAGGCAGAGATAGAGGCCCAAGACTGGGAATGTCCCCCTCTGAAAATCCAGGCTCATCACACAAAAGATTCAAAAGAAATTGTCAAATCTACATTTTCATTCATTCATTCAACAAATAATTTTTACCAAACATTTAGCACTTAAGTCTTACTGGAACTAGGGTAACAGGTTCCTGGAAAGGAGACCCAGATAACCTGCCAGTTTCAGGCAAAAGAAAGAGGCTTTTCCTTTTGAAACTGTTTTGACATGAAAGAATGAGGCAGAGAAAACAGAAAAAGAAGAGACAAAATAAGCAAGGGAACAGGGCAGAGCTAAAGTGGCTCCTCTGTACCTACTATGCCCCAACGGCAATTTGGCTGAATGGCAGCTTCAAGTAAAGAATACTTCCAGAGCTAGGATTGAGACGCTCAGGTTCTACAGTTCTACTCTGAGACAAATGGGCTTGCTCTGCGACCTCAGCAGCCTATTCTTATTTGCCCCACTATTCAGATCTCTCTCTGTTCTTCCCTCTCCTGCAGCTCTAGGTAGTCTAGTAGCAGGCTTTCAGATCGGAATTATAAGAGAACTATGTAACGGATCTCTCTTTTCTTTAAATTCTTTTTTATTTAGGTAGGCTCCATGCTCCTTGCTTAACCTGGGGCTCAAAATCACAACCCTGAGATCTATCGACTGAGACAGACAGGCACCCCTATAATAGATCTCTCTTAAAAGACTTCATTATCTTCAGGTATGGTATTAAAAATATTTTTCAGGGGCAGCTGGGTGGCTCAGTCGTTTAGCATCTGGCTTCAGCTCAGGTCGTGATCTCATGGTTCATGAGGTTGAGCCCCGCATTGGGCTCTGTGCAGACAGCTCAGAGCCTGGAGCCTGCTTCAGATTCTGTGTCTCCCTCTCTTTCTGCCCTCTCTCACTAACACTCTGTTTCTCTCTCTCTCAAAAATAAACATTAAAAAAAAGTTAATATTTTACAAACCATACAGAAATGTAAATTAATACAGAAATCAGAAGCTCTATCTTTCTGGCCATTCCCTACCTTCTAACTACTGCTGACTACTTTGATGCCAAAGCCCAGGGATGACTAAGTGGCCTGCTGCGATTCTGTATCTTTGGATTACAGAAGCTGCCCATGATCAGTACTTCAGTGCATCAGCCCTGTTCTCCATGCAGTGTGCCTAACGTGATAATACATAAATACATCAAAATTTTAAATAATTCCCTTTTATTATCTTAATATACCAACCTGTATCAAAACTGCTTACCAAATGACATAAATTATAGTGTAAAGCATCCCAATAGTTTCCAAATCAATTATTGGTTTTCAGATATTGTGGTATGATCTCCTGTCTGATGCAGTTGTCATTAGCTATAAGATGCCCCGGTCTGAACCATGATTTAACAACTTAGGAATATACAAAGCCTTCTATCAACTTCCCTATGAAATTGATAAGTCATTAGATACCTGGTGCAGACGGCTTTGCTGCAGCCAGCAAAAATGGCATGACCAGCCACACACAGTACATTCCTGCATGCCAGTACCTCTCACGCGGCCCAGATCTGGACAGCCTACACCGTGGCTCCATTGACAATGCCACCCAACCTGGAGCCCTGCAGAGCAGCAGGGAAATACTACCCATGCCCCGTCTCCTGCTGCCACCACCCTCTGGGCCAAAGGCTATGACACTGTTCCTAGGCTCTGGTCCTGCTTCTACAGCCACCCAACAGGTGACATCATCACCAGTCTCTGTAACTTACACTATTTACCAAGCAGAATCAAATTTTCACAACTGTTATAGCCTTAAAAATTACGTCAAATGTACTGTTTCACTGGGGCATTTTCCCTCCTATTTCAACATGAGACAGTTCCACTCTAGCCTGAAGTCTTCTTGTGGGTCCACTGGTGTCTCTGCTGTCTTCTGGACAGCAGGTTTGAGAATTTCTCACTGAGAAAGTTCTCCGTGTAAGAGAAGCTTAAAGGAAATATATTCTCAGAGACTATGTCTCCTCTCTCCCAAATCCTGTGGCAGGAGTGGGGGTGGCAGCAAGATTCAAGGAATACAGTCAGGAGTGAAATTAATTGTTTAAGTTTTCCCACCTCTTACTGCTCCAGGCAAGACTTGACTTTTCTTTTTTTCTCTCTCTCTTTTTATAAGTACCTTTCTCCACTATTACTTTACCTACAGAATTCATACACAGATGTGAAATTGTTTCATTTCTGACCCAGATTCTGGTTTTGAGTATTAAGTCTTTCCACACTCCCTATTTCTTCATATTTCACCAGGAGGATTATAAATGTATCTGAAATGGTAGAATTTCATTCTGCTTTCAATTTCTCCGTCTGCGTATGCTGCTGAAAAGCAGTACATAATGAGAAGGGAGAGCAGCAACCTGGCCTGATGCCCAGCTGGGAGCAGAGAAGTTCACCTAAAAAGGACTTGATGCTCCAAATGCCAAAAGCTGGGAAGAGAGTTGGAGGAAGGGGTGGGAAGATCTGGAAATATGCCCACGGGTAGTAATGAAGAAAGTGAATTCAGCCTAAGGGTGGGACCTTCTGCCCAGCCACTTTCAGCTTGATGCCTCATTATCTCCTCCATCTTCCCTAACCTCAGGACATTCAATTAGGGAGCAGGTGGAAAAAGCAACTGAGAAAGCAAGGCAATACCAAAAAAGTTAGAAACTGGGGGGAGGAGGGAGTTAAAATATTCATGTAGACCAGGGTCATCGGCTGGGATGTGAGGGTCTGGGTAGACAGCCACATGCCTGTAACTCTACATACTGAACACCCAATCTTATCATGTCATCCCACCTTCATCTGTCCCCCATCAGCCACTTAATCTCAGGCAACCGTCCTTCTCCTCTCCTATGCTTCCTCCGTGCACACTATACTCTAAGCATCCTGAATTACTTTCTACTCTCCAAACACGCCACACTTTCAAGCCTCCAAGCCTCTGAACATGCTGGTTCCCTGCGTGGTGTACCCCCCCCCACCCCACCCCCCACCCCGACTCCTCCACATAGAAAACTCCCACTGTTTCTTCATGACTCAGGTCAAATGCAACCTTCTCTGTTATCTTCTCTCATGCCCCAGTCAGCATTAGTCACCCTGTGCAAATCTTTCCTTTGTCACTTATCACAGTAGTAGTTAAGAGTACAGGCCTCTGGGGTCTGAGAGGCTGGAGTCTGAATCATGGTAATGTAACTTACTGGGTGTGTGACTGTGGTAGTCGCCATGCAAGATGGCCCCCAGTGGTCCTCACCTCCTGGCATATTCTTATCTTTATGTACCCCCTTCCCACGCTGTAAGAGTGTTGGTCTATGTGACCAACAGAGACGGTAGATCATTTGAGATTAGGTTATAAAAGACAATATGGTTTCCTTCCTAGACTGCCTCTTCCTTCTCTCTTGGATTACTAGTGTTGCGGGAGGCAAGCAACCCTATCGAGAGGGCCACATGGCAAGGAACTGAGGTTTTCCAACAACCATGTAAGTGAGTTTAAAAGCAAATTCTCAAGCCCCATTAGAGTCTCGGATACCTACAGGCCCAGCTAATACTTTGCAGTCTTTTGAGAAACCGTATGCCAAAAGTACCCAGCTAAGCAGCTCGGGATTCCTGAGCCACAGATATTGAGATAACAAATATTTTTAAAATTTTTTTTAATGTTTATTTACTTTTGAGAGAGAAAGAAAGAGATAGAGGTGTGAGTATGGGAGGGGCAGAGAGAGGGAGACACAGAATCTGAATCTGAAGCAGGCTCCAGGCTGTCAGCACAGAGTCCGACATGGGGCTTGAACTCATGGACCAAGAGGTCATGACCCGAGCCAAAGTCAGATGCTTAACCAACTGAGCCATCCAGGCATCCCAACAAATATTTGTTTTAAACCACTAGGTTTGGAGTCATTTGCACCCAGCAACATGTAACTAATACACCAGAGAAGGGATAGCAACAGCCTAGAATTTACAATAAGAAAAGCTGGCTTCAGGAACGGGCAGCGGTGCTTACTAACATAATAACCCTGGGCAAAGTACTCCATCTCCGGAGTCTAAGTTTCCTTACCTGGAAAATGAGAAAACGGCAACTATAACAATAAACTACAAAGTAAATAGCATATCCTAAAACTAGAATATAAGATAACCATGCTACAAATAAAGTCTGTGGTATACTAAATCTGATCCCTAAGGTAGGGATATTCAGAGATACAAGCCTAAAACAAGCCAAAAACTAATCTAATCAGCATTATAAAAGGAAAAAACAGGGGCGCCTGGGTGGCTTAGTCGGTTAAGCGTCCGACTTTCGCTTAGGTCATGATCTCACGGTTCGTGGGTTCGAGCCCCGCGTCGGGCTCTGTGCTGACTTCCAGCTCAGAGCCTGGAGCCTGTTTCAGAGTCTGTGACTCCCTCTCTCTCTGACCCTCCCCTGCTCACGCTGTCTCTCTCTCTCCTAGAAATAAATAAAACATTTAAAAAAAATTAAATTAAATTAAATTAAAAAAAAATAAAATAAAAGGAAAAAACAAAAAGCAGCAGCAGCTTTCATGGCCTTTCAATTAAAGAATCAAGCTTCTTTTTTTTTTTAATGTTTTATTTTTTAGAGAGAGAGAGACAGTGTGAGCAGGGGAGGGTCAGAGAGAGAGGGAGATACAGAATCCGAAGACAGGCTCCAGGTTCTGAGCTAGCTGTCAGCACAGAGCCCGATGTGGAGATCGAACCCATGAACTGTGAGATCATGAGCTGAGCAGAAGTCGGACGCTCAACCAACTGAGCCACCCAGGCACCCCGAATCAGGCTTATTTCTAAACACTAAAAGAAAATACAAACAGAAAAATGCAAACTGCAACCTACTTAACCTAAACATAAAATTTGCATCATTATTTCAGACCTAGGAACTATATGACATGACCTATAGTCTAAAAAGCTAGAGGTCCACTCCATTCAGAGTAAAATCCTTTATTCCTCCCCTAGATCCCAGGCCTGGCATTGGAGTGAGGTACACTGACCTTGCTGCTCACTAAACTACTCTTCTCCTGAAAAAAATGTATGTACTGATTCTGTTGTCAGATTCAATTTAGATGCTTTTTTTTTAAATGTTTATTTATTTTTTGAGAGAGAAAGAGCACTAGCAAGGGAGAGGCAGGGCAGAGAGAAAAGGGAGACACAGAATCCAAAGCAGGGTCCAGGCTCTGAGCTGTCAGCACAGAGCCCAATGCAGGGCTCATACTCAGGAACTGCGAGATCAGAGCTGAGCCGAAGTCAGACGCTTAACTGACTGAGCCACCTGGGCACCCCTCAATCTAGATGCTTTTTAAGGAAAAAAGGTAAATACATATTTGGGATCACACTAATGTGGTACAGCTATTCTCCGGCACTAACAATAAGAAGAATGCAGAAACAGCAAAGGCTTAAACTTTATTAAAATAGGATGATTTTCAGTTGCCTCTAGTTATGTTGGTTGTAAAGAACTCGGATAAACAATCTGATCTCAGAAGGCAGGAATCTCCCAGCCAGGACACTACACACATAATATACCTAGCCAACGTGGTTCTGATTACGCTGCTTAGGAGAATATAGGCTAAGAAGCTCTCTCTCTCTCTGGCCTTTCCCTACGTCCTAACTACTGCTGATTACTTCGATGCCAAAGCTTGGGGATGGCTAATTGGCCTGCTGGGATTTTGTATCTTCAGATTATAGCAGCCACCCATGATCAGTACTTCAGTGTATAGGCCCTGTTCTCCACGCAGTGCACTTAAAGTGACAATGAAGATATGTGCAGAATCCAAACTGTAGTTTGTACAGCTTCCCCCTTCTGGAAAGATGTATAAATCCAGGCCATAAAATGCTCCCTGACACTTCACACACAAATGTGTTTTTCCTGAAGCAAAGTATATATAGAAATGTTGTGACTATAAATTGCCTATCACTCAATTCTATAAAATAGATTTGTACATTAAGCTAACCATGGTACTTACACATACAGATCCATAGGAAACTCCTTCATCATGTGTGTTACAATAAACTCTACCATCAGGTCTGAATGGGAAAAGGAGAACAATTAGATGAATCAGAATGAAATGCATTCCATGACTTTGAGTTGGGAAAAAACCCTGAGTATACCTTGCACTCCTGCTGAATGGCGACTACTAGCCACATCTTTATTCACATGCACTGAAATTTATTTTATATTAGGCCCTTTTTACAACACTTGCACTACCTGCCACTTGTAAAGTAACAATTAGCTCACTCTCCTACTTCCAGAAGGATACTTTGACCTGCCAATAAATTCATGTACACAAGAGATTTCACTGCACAGATATTTTGTACTATGGCACTAATGCAGAATGCCAGAGGGAAATCATATTCTGAGAACCGAGCAATGAGGCAAGTAGAGAAGAAATTACGAATCACATCTGTATAACTAGAGACTCCACTTTAAAGTTATGTCAGTCTATCTCATCTCACGATCACGCTCAGTTTGACAGATATTGACTGAAATGGTCTGTGGGGCTTTGGTTCAATGGAGGCTTATTATATAGTCTTAATTACTGTTTCTAAAATCAGGTAGATTTAGGAACGAGGGCTGAATATCCAAGCGAAATGGGATTAAGAGTTCAGATCATTCCCCTGAAGAAAATGCAGAATTCTGGGCAGAGAAAATTCCCTATGATACAACCCCCTACTGTCAGCTGTCAGCCTATCTCAGCTTAATTTACTCAGAGGAAGATTCTGTCTGAACCTTGAACCCCAAGCCTCCTGGACAGCTGACACATCAATATGAACCAAGAAGAGAGTGAAGACTTGGAAATCTTGATCAGGAAGAAGACATTTTACAAATTTAAATCATGTATCAGCCTGAGACTTACCCATTTGTCTCCCCAGAAAGATCTTTTTCTTTGAACGAGAAAACCCTTTAATTGAGCATTCTATTCACCAGAGTTGTTTTACCAAACTGAACAATAAACATGGTTTCTTAGACCAGAGAAGAAACATAATTAGTAACTTCTCTGAGGAAGAAGCACATCAACCAGGATCTATCTCTCCTCTTAATGTGAAAATCTGTCACTGGCTCAGGAAAATGCCAATTTTGAGGAGACTCACCCAGGACTGCACATACTAAGGGACGGCAGGGAAGGTTCTTGTCCGCTGCCTTCTTCCTATGTCTCATAGGCTGCACACAAAAAAGAAATGAAATTAGTGGACCCCTGAACTGACATCCAATGGCTCATCACCATGTTCATCATGCAAATAAAATTACTACTACAGAGATGCTACCTTTCTTTTTCTAGTTTTGGGGGTTGGGTGGGGCATGGAGGACTTGTAAATGCTTCTCAGTTATCAGTGCAGGCCTGTGACAAAAACACAATTTACAGCAAGGCAACAGCTCCACAGGGCACTAGAGCCTATATACTACAATGGGAAAGCTGTTGTTTTTACTTTGATTTTATCTATACAAGTGACATTACTAACAACAAAAAGAGATATACTGGTATTTTTCTTTGATAAAATAATAATTAAGAAAAAAAAGAGAAGCAGGTAACTATGTAGAGGCAGCAAGAGTAGCAATGGCAAAAAACAAAAGTTAAGTTTCAAATATAAACTCAACATGATATTTTTAAACATACCTCCAAGTTTTAAGAAATTCCCTGATTTTCCAAATTCAATTTCCCCCACCTCTCAGATAAATAAAGTAGCATGTGTTCTTAACCAATCAAAGGTCATACGATATTTTGCAAATGAAAAGCTTAGGCCCATCTCCTTGTTGAAATCTAAGTTACTGATACTGATACATTCTAATATTATGCCATGAGAATATGGTCGTGGATCTTTTCATCCTCTCTTGAGTAAGAAAGAGCTCCATAACATGCAAAAAAAAAAAAAAAAAAAAAAAATCCAACAACAGGCATGGGCCTGTTGAACAGCAGTTAAGCAAAAGTCCTTTAGTACAACATTCCACCCACATTTGTTCTAAGTAGGATCAATTTCATCCTCCCCAATGCTGCCAACACACCAAAAATTTCCTCTAAGAAGAAACAAGAAACAAAATCACACCTACCATTCTATGTAAGTTTACTCGAAAGTTCATATTGTCATCATGCAAAAATGCATTGGCATACTGATCCTTAAAAATAGAAATAAAGAGAAAAAGTAAGGAATGAGAGCTATACTAACAAAACTCAGTTTGTAATCTATCACACTTGCTACAAATCCTTGGACTTCAAGAACTACTACTTTGAAGGACCAGTTGACAAGCTAATGGGATGAGCCTAGAGTCTTAATGTCAAACCCAACTTAAGCCAGGAGATTTTACTTAGATATAATTCCACAGCGTGTCTCTAACTGGTCAAAAATCTCTCAGCAAATTACAAACAATAAAAATTAAGGCACAGGGACTTGAGGCAAATGCTGAGAGGAATCTGTTTTCTTATTCTCTCTTCCTTCCCATCTGCCCAAGGAGCCTGCTCTGTTTGTGACAGCTTGAAGGTTTTCATCAGGGCTGGAAGATACATGTGCAGACTCCACATGAGGAGCCACAATTAAGAAGAAAGGTCTGTACTCCCCCGGGAATGGGCTTGGCACAACAGGAAAATACTGCTATGCAGGCAGCGTGGCAGCAGGGAAGACCCCGTCTATCTCTGGCTTTGCTGAAGACTGATGGAAAATCAAAAACTTCTCACCCATGGATCAGTAATAAACATCCCTTGGCCCTTTCCCAACACTGTTTCTGAAGATGTGACATGCTTACAGACTCCAATTACTAAGAACTGTTACAATTTGTGAAAAACAATTCCTTTAAAGATAGAAAGATTTTGGAAAAGCAATTACAAGCAGTCCACTGCTAATAAATATCTCTTCTAGGAGCACCTGGCTGGCTCCGTCAGAAGAGCATGAGACTCTTGATCTTGGGTCATGAGTTCCAGCCTCATGTTGGATGGAGAGATCGAGAGAGAAAGAGTGTAAGACAGGGAAAGGGGTAGAGGAAGAGAGAGAGAGAGAAAGAGAGAGAGAGAATCTTAAGCAGGCTCCACACTCAGCATGGAGCCCAACTCAGAGCTCAATCCCAAGACCCTGGGATCATGACCTGAGCCAAAATCAAGAGTCAGACACGCTCAATTGACTAAGCTACCCAGGTGCCTCAAGATTACTTAAAGAAATAAAACCTAAAATAATAATAATAATAAGCAGCTCTTCTATAACCAGCAACCCATAACCTGGTGAAAATAGGTCATCTTTTCACAGAGAATACTAAAAGGGAAAAACTGATCGGAATCTTTAATCCATATGGACCACCTTTACTATGTTTCTTGAGAGAAAAGATTAAAATAAGGAACAGTAAAGGGGGAAGTTGAAGAGAAAATTTAGCTCTAAATTGACTCAAGTTCTGCCCATAACCAGGGATCAGCATAAGTGACACTACTTGGACCCTGTGGTTTTCTTTTTACACCTGTGTTGCCACCAAGATTCAGGGTGAATTCAGGCCCAATTAATCCAACTAAAAGAGCCTCCTTATAAAGCACCTCTTATTTTTAAAGTTGGGTTCTTGTTCTTCACCAAACTGCAATCAGCCCAACTTTACTCAGATTCCAATTCCCCTCTTTGGGTTTTCTCTACACCACTTCCCACAGGAAACTTGATTTTTTTTTTTTTTTAATTCTTTATTTTGAGGGGCGCCTGGGTGGCTCTGTCGGTTGAATGTCCGACTTCGGCTCAGGTCATGATCACACAGTTCGTGGGTTCAAGCCCCGCATCAGGCTCTGTGCTGACAGCTAGCTCAGAGCCTGGAGCCTACTTCAGATTCTGCATCTCTCTTTATCTCTGACCTTCCCCTGCTCACACTCTCTCTCTCTCTCTCTCTCAGAAATAAATAAAACATTAAAAAAAAAAATTTTTTTTAAGTTTTTTATTTTGAGAGAGAGAGAATCCCAAGCAGGCTCCTCATTGTCAGTTCAGAGCCAGACATGGGGCTCAAACTCACAAATCACGAGATCAAGACTTGAGCCGAAATCAAGAGTCAAACACTTAACCAACTGAGCCACCCAGATGCCCTGGGCTCCTCTTTTCATTTTGCTAAATGCAAAAAACCCAACATGGATAGCTTTCAAGGGGCATTATTATTTTTTCTACAGAGGCGTAAGTCTCTTACTTAAAACTCTTAAGAGCTCGCGCTCCGCCTCTCTCTGCTCCTCCTCCGCTCGTACTCGCTCATGTGCTCTCTCTCTCTCTCTCTCAAAAGCAAATAAACATTTAAAAAAAATTTTTTAAGGGGGCACCTGGGTGGTCAGTCAGTTAAGCATCCAACTTCGGCTCAGGTCATGATAGCATGGTTCATGAGTTGAGCCCCACATGGGGCTCTGTGCTGACAGCTTAGAGCCTGGAGCCTGCTTCGGTTTTTGCATCTCCTTCTCTCTCTCTGCCCCTCCCCCACTCATTCTCTCTTTCTCTCTCTCTCTCAAAAATGAAGAAGCATTAAAAAAATTATTAAACCTTTTTTAAATAAATTTTTTTAATGTTCATTTATTATTGAGAGACAGAGTATGAGCATGGGAGGGGCAGAGAGAGGGGGCAGACACAGAATCCAAAGAAGGCTCCAGGCTCTGAGCTGTCAGCACAGAGCCTGACACGTGACTTGAACTCACAAACCGTGAGATCATGACCTGAGCCGAAGTTGGACGCTTAACTGACCGAGCCACCCAGGCGTCCCTAAAAAAAAAAAAACTCTTAAGAGTTCACATCTTCCAGTCTGAAATTATAGCAGTTATCATAACACAATTCATTATTAATTAGTCCAGTAAATACTAATTGAGCCTCTATTACATGCTAGACACTGAGAATATTGAGAATACACTGGTGGAGACAAAGTACTCGCTATCAGAGCTTACATTCTATTTTTTTTAACTTTATTTATTTTGAGTGAGTGAGAGAGAGAGAGAGAGACAAAGAGCAGGAGCAGAGAAGTGGCAGAAAGAGAGGGAGAGAGAGAGGATCCCAAGCAGGCTCTGCATAGCCAATACAGAACCTGACATGGAGCTCAAACTCAAGAAACGTGAGATCATGACCTGAGCCAAAACCAAGAGTTAGAGGCTTAACCAACTAAGCAACCCAGGCGCTCCTCAGAGCTTACATTCTAGTGGGAGGAGACAGACAGACAAAAAGGAAAGATTTTCTCTCCCAAGCTTTAGGATCCTAAAAGTCAGGAATAAGAGGAGAAGGGCAGAAAAAAGATAGCACTCTGTAAGAGATGGGCTACTATCAGAAGGCTGGTGGCACCTACCTCTGCAATACACGTAAGTATAATCAAACAGAGTTTGCCACTGTGAAGTCGGTGCTCATCTGTAAAGAAAAAATAAACCCTTCTCTCCATATCATCCAAACCATGTTTCTCTACAGAATAAAGATATGTATCATCAAAATGAACATTTCTACTTTCCCCCTCTTCACAAAATTCCTGAATGAAAATCAAAGTTCTACTTGAGTAATTCTTGCTTTTCTACTAGGCAAATGAATTCCCTCAGATTTTATTTCCAAAATATTCTGGCAGTCTGACAGACAACTAGCCACCTTCCTAAAAGCCATGTACTTAATATAATGGTTCCTACTGTCATGGCCCAAATTAGGGCCATGCCCTTTGCTTCCATATCAACCTTTTGCTTCTGAACAGCCAGGTCCCTTCCCACCCCCAACCCCCATCTATGAGCTAGAAACACCACCATCTATACCCGCCTCCCACAAAATCTTGAAGGGTTTTATAACTGTTCATATCAAACTGGCAGTGGAATCAGAAACAAACTAATTGAAGACCAGGGTCCAGCCCATGCCTTTCCTTGTACTGCGCACACTATTTATGACCAGGAAATCTGTGAACCCTTCATCATTTTTCTTTCCTTCCTGCCAAAGTTATTCATTCTACAAATATTTACCTAGTACCTACTATGTGGCAGGCACCGTGCTAGGCATTACAGATATAGCACTGAACTAAACAAAGGTCCCTGGTCTCCCAGGACCCACATTCTAGTTATGAAAAAAGAAGGTAGCCTCAGCAGCAGGGCTCCAGGCCCACACAAATGACCAAGAAAGAGCTACTCCATCACTGCCAATTACCCGAACCACGAGAGCATATTTACTTTCCAGGATCTTTGCGGGTGAGGGTGTGAAACGGAGGCAAAAAGAGGGTTCATGCCAGCATATCCAAAATGGACAAATGGCTTATGATGTTTCACATTAGCTTTAACAGGACCCAGACTGAAGTCCATTCCAAGAGGTGATCTATTAACAGATTACAGTGCTACAGAAATGAGCTAATAGAACTCACCCTGACATTAATCTGCTACTTCCTCAAAGATAAAATCAACAAAAACCTGACAATTAGAAGACAAAATGGGGGTTGTGGTCCAGAAATACATTCATCTCTTCTCCTAGACAGTGTAAATAGAGTAATGATAATACTTACCTGACATTCTCCAGACCTTACATCAGAGCTCCTAGGCAGAGAGAAGAGAAATGCCTCCACCTATGCAAAACTAGATTCCAGAGACTCCTACCTATCTGTAATTTCTCTGGCACTATCCTCCCTTTCCCCAAAAGCTGATAAGCAACTCCTATGAAAAAGCTTGCAGCTATCTCTCCACTTAAAAAAGAAAAAAAAGTGTTTCTGAATACAAAAATAAGGCATATTTCATCATAAACTTTTTTAACTCAGAAAAGCACAAAAAAAGGACAATAAAAACGAAGTTTAATCACTCCCACCCAGATATCCTAACTGGTAAAATTCTGGTGAATGAACTTTAAAGTCTATGCATAAATATATATATATATACATACATATTTATATGTATATGCACATATACATTTTAGATATACATACATATTTTTAATATTTTTCTTCATGTCTATTTACTTTTATTTTAGACAGAAAGAGAGCAAGAGCACACATACACGACCAGAGGAGAGGCAAAGGAAGGTAGTTGGGGGTAGAGGGAGGTGAGGAGGGGCAGAGGGAGAGAGAGAATCTTAAGCCGGCTCTGTGCCCTGTGCAGACCCCAAGGTGGGGGCTCTATCCCACAACCCTGGTATCATGACCTGAGCCGAAATCAAGAGTTGGATGCTCAACAGACTGAGCCACCCAGGCACACCCCATCTAATGTCTATTTTAAAGGTTAATCCTTTAACTCCTTTAAGGTGACAACACCCCAAATTAGGAGAACCTCAAGAGAAAAAGGCTTTGAAAGCAGAGCTGAATCAAGGGAATGATAAAATCCTGGAGAATGGAGAGGAGAGGAACAACTGGGTAGAGGACACACAGGTAGCTTCAAAAGTCTAATTTCTTCAGGGTGAGTGGTAGGTTTATATATGTTTGTTTTATTATTATGTTTCATGACTTGTGCTATTTATTATGCTTACTATAAGCCTAATAATTTAATATTCATACATACTAGAAATATCTTTTTGTAAGTATCAAATAATTATATAAAAAAAAAGACCTAATATCTGGGCAGGGGGACAGAGCAGAGCCAAGAAAAAGTTGCTTCCATTGCTCCTAAAATCACAATGAAATCCTATCAGTGAGGGCATACAGAAGGTCAGGGGATTAACAGATAGCAAGAGTTGAGCCAATGCGGAAGCCGTATTTCTTCCTCCGCTCCCCACTCCCTCAGTCTCACAGGAGCCATGTTTGACGTTAATTCTCCATCATACCTAACATTGCCCCTTGTCATATTCAGGCTGCCTGTTGGCAAAGACCAATCCCAGCCTGAATTCAGAGAGACAGTCTGAGACCACCTATGCGACAATTAATCTGCCCTCAATTTTGCCTTCCATTTCATGACAAAAGTGACCAGGACAAAGAGGTTTACAAAATCATTAGAGCCAAAAGTAAGTTCCCCGGGCCTCAATTCACTGTTATACAGCAAGCAAAGCTACAAGTTCATTTGCAGGGTCACATCTATACAGTCTCTTCTGTAGTTGCTATGACATTTCTAGAGAAAGGAAGAGGTTATCCCCCTCCACAAAGGAGAACCCAGGGCCTCAGGAAACATAAATACACAAGAGTCTTGTTATCCTGGCCTGCCAGATCTCACCTGCTGAGTCTCAGAGGCCCAAAACCATCTCTGCCACTCCCACCGGCCTGAGATACATACTGGATAGAATCTTCTGGGTTTCCTCCCAATCCCTTCTCACACTAGCCCAACTATGCCCTTTCCCTACTACCAGTTAAAAGACTATAGATGTAACAGAGGAAGAGCAGGAGACCAGAGACAACAAAAAACTTTTCCAACAACCACTCCCCTCCTGCTTCCACTCTACATCTCTAGATGGGTAAGGACACTTCTGCTTTAAGTATTAAGGGACACTGTCTTCTCAATCTCACCTCTTCCTACTGTACTCGGTACAACAGTCCACGAATTCTCACCACAAGCTGATGCTTCTAGTTCTTGTCCTCACAAGGGAATTCCCTGATGCCTGCTAAGCCCCCCCCCGCCCCCCCCACTTCCCACACAATAGAGTTTGCATCTACTTACCAAAATCTGCTGAAACCACTTGCTAGTTTTTGTAGAGACCAATTTTCTTTCCTGTTCTATTTTTGAAGTACTCCCCCTCCAGCTCCAGGTTTTCCCAACACCACCTAATTGCCATCTGGCAGTGAGAAATCACTGTTTTCCAGTAATCAGGACCATCACCCTATACAGAAGGCCCCAATGGTTCATCCTGTCAAAGTTTCAAAGTATTAATGCTGCTCCTTGATTCTAGCTAAGTAGCTGCCTGCCACAGCTCCTGCTTCCTGAGCCCCCAAAGTAGCCTGCCTTACCTTTGGTGTCCTGCATGACAATCGAGCTGTACTTTAAGAAGGTTATCAGTAGATTACTGGTCTGTACGTCTGCATCCAGTGGGAGTTCCACAGAACTTATAACTGGAATAGAACAGATGAAATGCACTTAGCCTATAACATACTGCATCTAACACTTCTACTTACATAGCCAATTTGCCAGTAGGCAAAGAAATCACAAAATAAACTTTTTCCACGAAAGAGGGAGGACCAAGTGCTTAGCATAAAATCCTTAGCTACTGTTCCTAGGCCTCTAGAGCCCTTCCCACTCCCAAGATTAAGGCCAATCCCCTTCCTGTAATCTAGGAGGCAGGTCTCTGGGAACAGTGCTTTTCTCCCACCAAGGGTCTTTGGATTCTGCTTTTAGCCTCACATAACCCAAAAGTGTTCAGAGCCCTTCTTAAAGGCACTCTGATTTGTACCTAAGGGAAAGATCTGTATTGAATATAAATGAGCCTTGCTTTGATGAGTCTCCTGCTTAAAATAAATGACAATTCATTCCTAATAAGGAGAAATCTTGCTCAGTTTTGAGAATAAGCCTTTAGGCTAGAAATACCTAAAATGGTAGGGAAAAAAGTTAAGACAGAACTACATCCAAATTCTATTCCTTAATCCCTTCCCCCGCCCTACCCTCCCCCGCCTCCCGTGGAACCTGAAAAAGAATACCACACTGAAAACAGGTGGACACTTGATTGGGATAGCCTGGAAACTGAGTTTTATATATCCAGCTGCTTACTATTTCCAAGAGAAATTATCCTTTGTCCCCACTCTTTGAGCCACAGTTCTAATGAATAATGAGGGACCAAACCAGGGCTAATCCACACAGAATAGTCATTCTATCTTTTTGTTTTCTTTTTTAAAGTATGCTCCACACCTAATGTGGGGCTTGAACTCACAACCCTGAGATCAAGAGTCTCATGCTCTATCAGCTGAGCCAGTCAGGTAGCCCTAGAATAGTCTTAATGTAGATTTTTCAAGTTTCTAAGACTTTAAATTAGACTTGGACACTTGTTAACTTTTTTCACTAAGACATAATATAAAAGCAAAAGGAGGCTCATGATGGCTCAGACAAGCTAGAAAATCTATAGCTTTCTGCTGCATTTTTACCTGTGAAGACTCAGCTGAGTTTGGGATATTACTCATAATATGTATTCATAACTATAATGGATCCCTCTGGAGTTATTATAATGTATGCTGAGAACATTTATTAACAATGGGAAACATTTGCATATAATCGTTCCATAACACACAACAAGCACAACAGAAAGCCTTATTGAGAAGAAATTTGCATGCCCAATCCTTGGCTGTTTTCCCAAAGTTCAGCCTCCCAAAACTAACAAAAGACAAATATGTTTTTATGTTGAAATACTAAAAGGTCTTAATTCATGTTATGGGTTAATGACCTGAGACTAACATTTCAAACTACAAGCCTATTTTGAGGCTCAGAGCCCATAATCATTCCTTTGTCCAATTCAAAGAGGAATCTAACTGGTAAGTGGGACTTTTTTCCCCACTCACACACAGCAGTAACTGGAAAACTGTCTTACATAATACGTAGAAATATAGAAGTATATGTATTTTTAGTTTACCAGAAAGTCCTCTCATGCCAAGGCTGAGTTGTCAAATGTCAAATCTGAGCTGGGAACAAATGTTACATCTAAACTCCTGGCTTTTAAAAATAATGGCTCCAGTGACATACCTTTAAGTGTAACTGGGCCACTGAGCACCACTATACATAATTAAAGACAAAAAAACCTGGAAACAAGGTTATAATGCTTAGGATCCCTATAGAAAGGAAATGAGTTAGGAGAGAGGAAAAAGAACAAATTAGAAGAGATAGAAAAAAAATCCCTCATAAATTAAAATCCCCTTCTTAAGGAAGAGTTATTTCTTGATCTTTGGCTTCATAATTCTTCCCAGCAGCCTCTGACAAGGGAGGCAGTCATTTAAAAGTGGGCTGACTCCATCTTCCCACTAGAAAAAATAAAAGCTCAACTGGTTGTAGGTAAGTAAGCACAAATCCTGCCATTGCATAATCAAGTGTGTGGGTGGGAGTGTTCACAATGAACAGTTTGAAAGGCAGTTCTCTGAAGCATCCAAACTCCAACATCACATGGAACTCAGATATATGGATATATATACATATATATATGGCTTTTGATATCCATGGTAACCAGGCAGGCTTCATCCTTAAAGAGAAAGAACAGTATTTCCATTGGATTATTCAGTGACCTAAAAAAGCAAAGACAAGTAGGCAATTCTTACTACTTGCTCCTTCTCATTAAGATATTTTGGAATTTGGCTTTCAGTTCTAAACAGATCCAGTTTGCTACCACAGACCTGAGTATCAATGGCACCTTCCTGGCACGCTTCTACCAACACCACTTTTACTACCTCGAAATACAGGTGCTGTATTTCAAGGAGGAAGATCAAACAAGGTCATTACACATACAGACAGCAGAGAGGTACAGAGAAAGGATCAAAGTTAGATTTCCTATATTTTTTTACCCAAAATTCAGTATACATTTTAGGTAAAACATCAAGTATTAACAAAGATTATTTTTAGGTTAATGTACTCTATCAAACACACTCAGGTGACAACAAAGTTTACTGGGCAAAATTCACAACTCCTTTCCTGTTACCTTTTTCTCAAGTTCCAACCATAAAATTTATAAAGTGGAAATTTGTGTGTGTGCGTGTGTGTGTGTGTGTGTGTGTGTGTGTGTGTGTGTGTGTTTTAGGGGTAGAAGTCTTAAATACCCACCAAAGTCCAATTATAATACACTCAAAGCTTGATGTTTTCCCACTGGGAGTGCTGGCAGACACATATCAGTGAGTAAAATCCTAGGTTCACTTTCTCATGCATGTACTCAACTAATATTTACTAAGCAGTGACCATGCCAGGCACTACAATGGATAGACAATAGTGACCAAACCAGACATGGTTCCCTGCCCTGACCCCTATCCTGGATCTTAGTCTCAACTCTCACTAACATTAGGTGAACCACTTATTTCTCTGGCCTCAATTCCCTCATTTTACCAATGGTAACGCGAGACATTTATTTCAGAGAGATTTTCATAAAGTACCTCATCAGAGCCTCACAAGTATCCTGAGAGTTTGGCAAGACAGACATCGCTGACCACAGAGGTCCCTTTCAGATCTAGCACTCCATGATTCCACAACCATTCCCTGAGGACAAGATGGAGTTATGTGGCTTCTAACGCAGAGAAAAGCACTTGCCTGTCTTTTCCAAAATTTCCACTGGAGCTCCAGAAGTCCTAAAGGACATCAACTCAGACACTTTCTTAAATGAAAGAATTAACAACCGTGTTCTTTGTTCAACACAGCTACGCTCACCCTGAAAGAGTCAAGATCTTATTAATCAAGAAAACAAGAGGTGGTGGGTTTACCATCAGAGGAGGGCGGCGTGGTTCCAAGTGGTGTGACTGGAGTTGTTGGAGCAGGACTGACAGGGGTTGTCACCAAGCCCATTTCTGGATGACTCTAAAAGAGAACAGAGGCAAGTAAGAAAAGTCATAACCTAGTTCTGAGTATCCTCCCCACAACAGTCTTTCTGGTATTCCTGGCCTCGTCATTAGATGGAATGCTCACTGAAGAGGGACCGCTTCTGCTCTGAGCTCCCATGAGAGCGTGACTCCTGTTGATGCTTGCTAAATTCTAGTAAGAAGCTCTGTGGGCTAGTTTTCTTTAAGCAACTAAGTTCCCATTACATAAGTTTCTCTGCAGAACCATGCAAATAAAAAACTGGGGTAAACAAATACATGAGGTTATTCTACCAAAAAAGGCATCTACAATCCTAACCTGGGAAAGGACTCCTCTCATCAGATCAACCTAAAACACATCTGTAGACTGTTGATCACACAGTTGATGAATAAGTGCAGGTGAGGCAAGTGGATAAGAGGTGCTATAGAAACAGCTAGCAGACGGCAGCCTCCCTGTTCCACAATCAACAAGAGTGTACAGTGTGGAAGCAGAGACATGGGGGAGACACCCACACTGGGACCCAAACAGATGACTCCTCTGTTCCTGACCTTCCTTAGCCACCTCTGTCACATTAGCTCTTGAGAATTAAGCTGAGTGGCGGCTATTCCCTTCTCCTCCGCAACAGCTTTTCCAGCCTTTCACCTTCCTCATCCCTCCTTTAACATCAGTTACAGAAACCAGAGAGCAGACAAACATAGTAAGAATAGTGGATAAAATCTCTCATGTTCTCAGTCTTGATAAATAAGTGTCCTCACAGGCAGAGCCTAAACCAGCACATTACTTTTTAAGCATGGCCTCATTTTTTGTTGTTGTTGTTAAAACTCAATCAGTGATTCCATCCAAATACATCTGCCCTTTGAGACAAAAGCATAAACAGAAACAAATGTTCTTTTAAAAGAAACCTACATACATATTTTAAACACTCTGACTTTAAGATACAAACACTTTATCAATTTTTAAAGAGAGCTTTCATGGCCAGCACTTGAGCTCCTGGCCTATTTTAGTCCCTCTCTACCAACTACAGAAGACATCCTAAGCTAGGAAGTGACCCAGCACTCAGCATTCTGTGACTTCCTGCTTTTAATATGTGTAGGCCATTTTTTCTCCTAACAGCTAGACTTATGCTAGATACGATAATTTTTACTTTTCTTCTCTGGAAATTGGTGAAATAATAAGACAAGTGGCTTGGCCTCTTTTCTCTCTAGTTGTAATTCCACAGAAGCAGAAAGCCAGACATAAAAATCCATATGGGCAGATAATACCAAGGGATTGCCCATGAGCAAAATGAAATAATCTCAACTTGTCTGGGTTAACAGAATCAGTAAACTGGTCAAATGAATTAGAAGACTGGTCAAAACCATTAACTTTGCATGTTATCAGGCCCACGTGAGCCCCAGATGGAAACATACATAGTTGAGGACAGCCTGACACAAAGGCAACTGATGCAACTCTTTGTTACTACCACTTCCCAATACAAAGCAGGGGTTAAACGGGCACAGCCAGTAAGGCTTTTCAATGGAGTGAATCTGTATGAAATTCAGGGAGGAGAAGGATTGGAGTTTTTAATATAACCAACCTGGGCTAACACTGTGATGAAGTTGCGATTTAAATGAACAGCTTCATAAAGTGCCAGAAGGATGGCCTCATTGGTTCTAAAGAAAAGAAGAAAAAAAAAGAACAAACTGGAGAGGCTCTTAGAGTGGAAGAGTTAAAACACTATGACCAATAAGATACAGTTTCACCCAAGCTCCCCATTATCGATCCCTTTGAGTTTCTAATGTTCCCTTTATTTCCTTGTTGGTTTTATGTAAAGGGTATAGAGGCAAGGAGTCAGGGCTTTAATTTTAATTCCTTAGGCCTAGTTCTTATTCACTCCATTCCCTATTTTCCCTCTCATTTTTCTACCTCAATCCAGTTAAGTCCTTAACTGGCTCAGACACCCAACCCCCTTTCATTTCATTCCAGAGACAGCTGGGAACCATTTTTCAGCTTCTTAGGGCTCAACAGACATGGCCAAAGTAGTGGTTTCTAAGGGTCCATTATTGTTTATAACCCAAGAAACATTTGATAAATCACCATAAAAGTTTGAATCCATAAAAGATTAGCAAGAGGAAACGTTTCACACTCCGACCCAGCCAGAAAGCCCACACTAAAGTTCAAGTCACCGCACAAGAATGTCAGCAGCCACTTACTGTACTGAGATTTTCTCATGGGCATCTGCTATGAACATGCTGCCCACCTGTGGAAGAAAAGAGGAATTGCAGACTTACAGCAGGGAAATGGGAGAGGGGCTCTGTGCCTGTGAAGCCTTTAAATCGGTGAAAAAGAAACTGCTTGCAGCCTGAGGGAACAGCGAACTGGCCCACCCATCCTGCAGACCCAAAACAGCCCACTTTCAAGATCTTCAAAGAATCACAAGTAACATAATGAGATAATTAGAACTCCACTAAATTGTCTTTCCTTAAAGGACCTTAAAAAAAAACAATCAGGACTTTGGTCCAGCTCTCCTTTTCAATGTGTGAGTTTAGTAACCACTGACACCAAGTAAATGGTAACCTGTCACTCTGCATCTTTCCCAAAACTTGCTTATTTGAAGTCAGAAATTTATGAAGAATACAACAGAAAGCACACTGATTTCGTCCAACATGGACTGGTCTTCGGAAGAATATTTGGCTTTCAGACCAGAGATGTCTATGTGAGACCCTCTGTCCATCTTTCAGATCACAAAATCTTTAATCTGTGTCTTAGGCAGGGCAGTCATAGAAGTAAATGGAGTAGGCTGTCTCCAATATGTGTGGTATCAGAGGCACTGAGAAAGATGCCCATCCCTCTAAAAATACTTTTCCATCTGCCTACTGATGCTCCCAAACTGTGCAGCTCAAACTTCCTTTGTTTAGTATAAAACTTTTTCTTCCTGACTAAAAGGCTAGGATCCCTGGGAGCAGTATCATTATATCTAACTCATTTAACCAAATACCAGCACAGTGCTCATACTGCTCTGACCTCTGAGAGACTTTATTCATTTATGTTTCAGAGTTAAAGAGCTTATCAGACCCTTTCCTGAGAGCAGGCTCTGAGAAAGAAGGAAGGAAGAGGACACAGGCATTGAAGGGAAAAAATTGCCTTTCTGGAGGTCTATTTTTTGCAGTGAACTCAAAAACTGTCTTGCCCTACAGCTGATCACTTGAATGCTAATGTCCACAAAGAAAGACTAAATCCACGTAGATTCTAAGACCTGCAAGATTTATCTCTTAAAAGTTAGTCCCAGGTTACCTGGCCCAAAATGCTTATACTGCCAAGGTTGAGAAACCTTATTCAGGAGTCTCGCAAAATGGACCAATCGCTTTCCTAAACTATGGACCTCTCAGTCCATTAAATCTTTACAGAAGTGGCTTAAATCCACTGCATCAACTCCTCAACTCCAGAACCAGCTATGAGGGATCAAGTGGTCAGAGCAGACAACTAAGGAGCACTCAGCACTGGGCTCAGATCTAAACTCTCCTATTCGATATTCTGTAAGGCCAGTCCTCAAGCACAGCCAGCTTTTCAGGAAGCAAACGTCTGGCTTAATGTATACACTTTTTGAGCTTTTATAAAACTGAATTAATTAATTTGAAAAAAATCAGTCCCAGAGCAATCAGAGCTCTCCTTTCCCTATCTTACTTGGATTTGGAGATCAATAAAAGAGATACAGCTCTCAAAAATATCTGTTCGGGGGCGCCTGGGTGGCTTAGTCGGTTAAGCGTCCGACTTTCGCTTGGGTCATGATCTCGCGGTTCGTGGGTTCGAGCCCCGCGTCGGGCTCTGTGCTGACTGCCAGCTCAGAGCCTGGAGCCTGGAGCCTGTTTCAGTCTGTGACTCCCTCTCTCTCTGACCCTCCCCTGCTCACGCTGTCTCTCTCTCTCTCTCCTAGAAATAAAAAAAAAAAAAAAAAAAATCTGTTTGTTGGGGCGCCCAGGGGGCTGAGTTGGTTAAGCGTCCAACTCTTGATTTTCACTAAGGTCATGATGTCATGGTTCATGCGATAAAGCCCCGCATCAGGCTCTACACTGACAGCTCGGTGCCTGCTTGAGATTCTCTCTCTCCCTCTCTCTGCCCCTCCTCCTGCTTGTGTGCACTCTCTCTGTCTCTCTCTCTCAAAAGCAAATAAACATTAAAAAATCTGCTCTGAGCTGCTCTCCCCTCATCATGCCATCATCTCAAACATTTAAAGTTCTAAGTACAGGGGCGCCTGGGTGGCTTAGTCGGTTAAGCGTCCGACTTTCGCTTAGGTCATGATCTCGCGGTTCGTGGGTTAGAGCCCCGCGTTGGGCTCTGTGCTGACTGCCAGCTCAGAGCCTGGAGCCTGTTTCAGAGTCTGTGACTCCCTCTCTCTCTGACCCTCCCCTGCTCATGCTGTCTCTCTCTCTCTCCTAGAAATAAATAAAAAAAACATTTAAAAAAATAAAATAAAATAAAGTTCTAAGTACAGATTTGTCTACTCCTGCAGACCTCTTAGATTCCGGAGCAGGACAAATAAATAAATAAATAAATAAATAAATAAGTCGGACTTACCATATTTGTTAAAGCAGAGAAAAAACCACTCTGGTGTTCTTCTTCCTTGTCTTTATACTGCCTGAACAAAAATAACTAAATTCAACTTTATTATTATTTATCAAGTATGTCTCCATCCTTGGCATTCTAGGTAATCAGGACAGGGCACTCTGAATTCAGTGACTCCAGAAGCCAAAAGCATTATGACAATCTAGCCACTGCTGTCCCCCCTGCAAGCTAAGAGGCATGCCTCTGCTCTTGAGGCAGCATGTACCAAAACGCCTGGCTACTTTGGGAGAGACTCAGAAAGCAAGCTGCAAACGTGTGAAACTGCTCTAACATATGGCTGATCCAGTTATTTCCCAAACAGACTATTACTTGAAAAGTGTAACAGTGAAATTACTTTAAGGCTGTACAGTGAAAACCTTGTTTGTTTTTGAAGGAAGAGGAGGGAAATCTGTGAGCTAAACTATTTGTGGAGATGGGGCAGATTTGAAATTCCATATCCAATTGTGTGTGAGCAAAGTCTGGAGAGGAACAAGAAAGATACTGCCTGGCCCTTGCCAGGATTAGGAACACTTCTGCTTTCCATTCACTGAGTACCAGATCCTTCCTCATCCAAAGCCAGAGGGAATGCAAGCATCAATGAAGAGAGCCCTCAGAAAAGACAGGGACCCTGGGAAGCTACAGTTGATTCCTGATGAAATAAAAGCATCCACTAAACAAGAGCTATTTCAGTATGTTTTCTCCTTTTATTTATTTTTTAAGTGTACAAAAAAGTGGTGCTTCGCAACCCTTTTTACATAGAAAATGATTTGTATGATACACTGGGTTAAATGGAAGAGCCTGCTTGTGGCTGGAAAAGGAGTTAAAATACTCCGCAATAAAATACCAAAGGTTGCAAAAGAATGCGTCTAATTGCTTAAATAAAAGATGACGCTAACCTGGTGGCTACTTTCCCCCAGGTATTAGAAACACCCCCTGCTGGGGCGCCTGAGTGGCTCAGTCAAGTAAGCGTCTAACTGTTAGTCTCAACTCAGGTCATGATCTCATGGTCTTGAGTCTGAGCCCCACATCGGGCTCTGCACTGACAATGCGGAGCCTGCCTGGGGTTCTCTCTCTTTCCTGCTCTGCCCCTCTCTCACTCATGCTCTCTTTATCTCTCAAAATAAATAAATAAACTTTCAAAAAGAAAGAAAAAAGAAACAACCTCTGCTAAGGCCATCAAGCTGAGCTTAGAGCAAATACGTTGGCCAGAAGCTAAATTTAGGAATACTCTTCAAGGATAGGTAAGGGAAATTCACCCAAGCACTGGAGCAAACCTGTTTTCTACTCAACCAATTCAAATGAAAATTAGACCCTTCCCTTCTGGAACAGTGGACTTACCTGTTGTACTCAGATAAAGCCTGAGCAATCACAAGCCCCATTCCCTAGAAAGAAAAAGGATAGCACACATCAAATAAGGGGCTGGTGGTGATGCCAGGCCAGGAAAAATACTAATTACAGTCTTGGGGCCCAGATTTTCCTGATCTGTCTTAATTTATTTAATAGATCAACAAGGCAGGGGGAGGGCAAAACAGAGCAGCCCAGATCACTGACAATTTCACTGGGATCATATTCACCTCAAAAGATAAGACAGAGTTAGAATCTTCAAACAAAAAGCTCTCATATGTCTCTAAAACAGAGTGAGCAACAATAAGTCTCACACTAAATGAAGGTGCATAGAGATGAGCCACTCTCAGACCACAGGAAAACAGGAAGGTAACAGGAAGATGCATCCAGTAAATGTTAAAGTGACTTATCAACTTTCCCCTTTAGAACCTGCTAATAAATATGACACAAAGATCAATTAAGGCCACAGGATGAATCATGTGTGCCTTTTTTCATAAGAGAAATTAGAAGACTGAAGAGGGCAATATGCCTGACACCTGGTCATCTGCTTCCTTACTCAGAGATCAGATATTAGATCCCAAACTTTCAAGGACACATATAGCAGGTACACAGACCATCCTTCATGCTTCGGCTTCACCAAGTTGGGCTGCAAATGCCATCTGGCTAGTTCTACAAGAAGGAATCTCCCATCATTTAGTCATCTAAGCCTTGCTGTGTCTTTTTTTAAAATTTCATCTTTATTGAGGTATAATTAACATACAAAATTGTAAGATATCTAAAGTATACATCATGGTGACTGATTTCTCATCTAAGCCTTCTTATTCTTAGGAATGTAACTTACTGGCTCTGTAGGATCATCAACCTCAGCACATTATGACATGAAATATAACCAACCATTTCATCATAATTAGCAAACAAACGTCTCTTCAAACCCTCCTTCCATGATGAGAAGAGTAAAGACAATACAATAGTCACAATCATGCTCTAAAAGGAAATACCGATTCCCTCCTTATAGCCAGATGAAATTAACACAATAGCTCTCTGCTCTCTGTTTTAAATATCAAGTAATTAAATAAATGTGACTACTTAAAATAATATACAAGGATCTAGATACTCACATTGAGTGTGGCCTCATCATCCACGATAGACAGCTTCACAATATAAGGATTCACAGACTATTAAACAAGGGAAGAGATTCAAGGTGAGTGTGACTTAGTTAAGAACCCATTAGTTATTTAACAAAGTCTTAACAAAAATGGTTCTATAAGGCCCTCTCTCTATAGCGATGCTCCTAATACCACATCCAACCCATTCTGCCAACTGACTCCCCCCATTTCCAGTAAATCTCTCAGTGTGCATGGCCAACCACCCACCCACACACACACACACACACACACACACACACACAGTTCTGTTCTACTTGCATTTTTCTCTAGGCTGGATCAGCCCAGGTCTGTGTCTGCCACTTCTCCCATCTTTCAGTCTTATTTATTTCTAAGAAGTGAACATTCCACGAAACTCTTTTGTCCTATCCTACCAATTATCTGAGGCTATAGGGACAACAGTCTTGGGGGAACATAAAAGCTTCTTTGCCATAAGGCACAAATTTATAAGTTGCTAACTTACATCCTCATCCCAAAGGCTCCATAACCATTCCACAAACTATACGCAAGGACTGATTCACCCACCCGTAAAACAAAGCCACCTTGGGGGTGGAAAGTGGCAGCTGCTTAACAGCCAGAGAGGCCATTTATGGATCTGATACCCAAATAACACTGCAGGGGAACTGAAAAAAGGGATGTAATTACCCAAACTACAATCTGGTCAGAACACTGGGATTTAATGATTGTCTCATCACTTATAGCATTGGAAGATTTCTTGAGTTTTTCCAGACCAATCTCAGCTGGGCAGCATATGGAAATGGACATATATTTAAACTCATTAAGCAGCTGGACCATCTCCTACCAGTGGGATGAGAACCAGCAACCTGCTCACCTTAAAAATGTCCCACACATGGGATGTAAGGAAAGACCTCATCTAGATCAGGCACCAATTTTAACCCAAGGAAAGCAAGGAACAATATCAGTAGTTTTCACAGCAACCAAGAAAACTCATCACTGAGGGGCGCCTGGGTGGCTTAGTTGGTTAAGCTTCCGACTTTCGCTTAGGTCATGATCTCGCGGTTCGTGGGTTCGAGCCCCGCGTCGGGCTCTGTGCTGACTGCCAGCTCAGAGCCTGGAGCCTGTTTCAGTCTGTGACTCCCTCTCTCTCTGACCCTCCCCTGCTCACGCTGTCTCTCTCTCCCTCCTAGAAATAAATAAAAAACATTTAAAAAAAAAAAAAAAAAAAAAAAAGAAAACTCATCACTGAGAAACTTAGAAACCCCCCTACATAGACCATATTTAATCAAGGTCCTGAGGGTATCTTTTGAATGTCAACTGGGAATAGAAAAAGAGACAGCTTTACTTTCTTAACAGACCAAATGTTTATAGTGTTTTCTATGACACAACCCAAGGAGGTAAAACCCACTCTATCACTTGATCTGAAAGAGGAAGGCTCTCCACACTGCTTCCTAAAACCAACAGTCAAATCCTGCTGATGCTACAGACATTAAACAAGGTCGGGTGCAAGTGATTCCTCGGAAAAGAAAATCAGCAGGAGGCTGACCTAGAGATCCCACGATGAGAGAACAACACTAGATGGAGCAGGCCACCGTTTCTTGGCATAATCTTTAAAAGTCCTTGTCACTCACCATCTAATAGTCCACTGTTTTAGGTAATAATAAAGATCATCTGGGGGCACCTGGGTGGCTCAGTCAGTTAAGCGTCTGACATCGGCTCAGACCATGATCTCACGGTTTGTGGCTTCGAGCCTCGCATCGGACTCCGTGCTGACAACTAGCTCAGAGCCTAGAGCCTGCTTCAGATTCTGTATCTCCCTCTCTCTCTGACCCTTCCCTGCTGATGCTGTGTGTCTCTCTCTCTCAGAAATAAATTTAAAAAAAAAAATTAAAGATTGTCTGATTACCAAGAACAACCTATTTTAGCAGTTGAGGAAAAGAGAAGCTGACTAAAAGCAAGGGTTTGAGTTCTAGCTCCTCTACTTACTAGTTGTGACAAGTTAGGCACCTTTATTAACCTAAGCTCAACTTCCTCATCTGTAAAATGGGGATAATATTTTCTTTCTCAGGGTTGCTATGAGACTTAAAAATGAATTAAAATCCTTAAAGTAAAATCCTTAGCATAGTATTTGGTATACAGTGAGGGCTCAACAATGGTAGCTATATATTTGCTTGTTTAAAATTTCATCGTGTTTAGGGGCGCCTGGGTGGCTTAGTCGGTTAAGCGTCCGACTTTCGCTTAGGTCATGATCTCGCGGTTCGTGGGTTCGAGCCCCGCGTCGGGTTCTGTGCTGACTGCCAGCTCAGAGCCTGGAGCCTGTTTCAGAGTCTGTATCTCCCTCTCTCTCTGACCCTCCCCTGCTCACGCTGTCTCTCTCTCTCTCTCTCCTAGAAATAAATAAAAATATTTAAAAAAATAAAATAAAATAAAATTTCATCGTGTTTGAAGGAAAACTTCTTAAGGAAAAAAAAAACAAGAAAAGGATCAATTTGCAACTGGAAAATAAATGAGCTTGTAATTTCTGGGAAATAGCATGTCCAGTTGGGGACTGAATCATGTCATTACAGGAGAATGGGCCAACCTAGAAGGCCAGGATCTTAATGCTGTGAAAAATTTCTATTTTACCAGATACTGATTTTCCTTAACACTATATGCCTGTTGCGCTGGTCACATTTGTTTAAACTGAAGGTAATCTACTTTTCATCCACAAGACAGAATTACAAACTCTGTGAGCCTGCACAGAATCACTCTAATAGGGTTCTGCCTTTATTTGATCTAAACCATATTTTTTTTTTTTCATTGGCTTTTTTTTTTTTTTTTTTTTTGGCAGGGTGAGAGCTCCTCTATCCCGTTAGATGAAATAACAAAAATGGAACACACTATTTCAGGTGAAGAAGAACTATTTACTTTTATTACATGACGTCTTTTCCATCACTTCCATTCCTGAAGTCCAAAACTTTATTTGCCTTCTCCGTGTCTAGATGGGCGCCCAGCCTCCTGGAACCCTCTGCACCTTACTCAAAGGTTCCAGCTTTCCCCATCCTTCATGGGCTGGATTGTGGTGGTAGCTAGAATCTGCTCTCCCTAGCACATACCCTCTCCCACTAGTTTGCATAAAATTTTACCAGCTTTTGGTTTTGCTATGTTCATCCGGAATTCCTCATGTGCCTGTCAAAAACCTTCCTGCTCCATGGTCACTAGGCCTCCTTAATGGTTTCCAGTGAGTGACTCCTATCAAAAGCTGCAAAGCCCAGATAAATTATGCCCACCAGCTTGCCCTTGCTTACTATACTAATTCTTCTGAGGCTTCTGACAGACTAGAGTGCATACCTCACTCCATAAAATATGATTTTCTCTACTTCCTTGGCCATGTCTAATTTTTCAGGCTGACATTTCAAAGAGCCCTACTGGGCTGAACCAGGTTCAGCTCACATTTAGGAAACCAAGCCATTGTGTCACAGTGGCCTGCACCCAGCAGAATGTTAGGAAAATATTCATTACTGATGATGGTGCTTTCCAACAACGTACAACTCAACTTTCCTTAACTGCATTTTTCCTCTGCTATTTTCTAGCTATTGTAATAAGGCCACAGAGGCTTTCACACATGACAGAGATCAAAATGGCTACCATGCCAACCCCGCCAGATCACCAGTAAAACAGGTGTTGGTGACAAATTACATATTTACTAGTAGCGTTACACACAAGTTACAAGTTACTCTGAGAAAATTAAAGCAATCAACTCTTGGGATTTCTTTCTTTCTTTCTTTCTTTTAACTCCGGGAATTTCTAACACATGAACACTGCTCCACATATTCCAGCACCTCTTTAAGCATTCCTTTCTCACAGCCTCTCCTTCTCCCATATTCCTCCTTATAAGAATAAGCTCCAGATTTTGTTACCCATCACTCTCAACCTGACTAGGAACCATCTCAAAAATCATTAAGTGGGGGCACATGACCGGCTCAGTTGATGAAGCATGTGACTCTTGCTCTCATGCCCCATGTTGGGGTAGAGACTACTTAAAAATAAAAAATTTTAAGGGCACCTGGGTGGCTCAGTCAGTTAAGTGTCCAACTGTTGATTTCAGCTCAGGTCATGATCTCCCAGTCATGAGATCAAGCCCACCTCAGGCTCCATGCTAAACTGAGCATCAAGTCTGCTTAAGATTCTCTCTCCCCTTCTTGCATACATACACTCTCTCTCTCTTAAACAAACAAAACAAACAAACAAATCAATTAATTAATTTAGGGTCAGCTGGGTGGCTTAGTCAGTTAAGCATCCAACTCTTGATTTTGGCTCACATCATGATCTCACGGTTCATGAGACCAAGCTTGGCACTGGGCTCTGCACTCACAACGCAGAGCTTGCTTGGGCGTCTCTCTCCCTTTCTCTCTGCCCTTCCACGCATGCTCTCTCTCTCAAAAATAAATAAACTTTAAAAATTAATTTAAAAATTAATTAAAAAATATAAAATCTTAGGGTGCCTGGGTGGCTCAGTCTGTTGAGTGTCCAACTTCAGCTCAGATCATGATCTTGCAGTTCATAGTTCAAGCCCTGCATTGGGCTCTCTGCTGCCACAGTAGAGCCTGCTTTGGATCCTCTGCCTCATTTCTCTCTGTACCTCCGCCGCTCATGCACTCTCTCTCAAAAATAAACAAACATTTAAGGAGCACCTGGGTGGCTCAGTCAGTTGAGCATCCAACTTTGGCTCAGGTCATGACTTCACGGCCTGTGGGTTTGAGCCCTGTACCGGGCTCTGTGCTGATAGTTCAGAGCCTGGAGCCTGCTTCAGATTCTGTCTCGCTCTCTCTCTGCCCCTCCCCCATTCATTTTCTCTCTCTCCCACTTTCTCTCTCTTTCTTGTGCTCTCTCTCTCTCAAAATTAAACATTTTTTTTAAGTTAAAATAAAATAAAATAAATCTTAAAAGAAAATCACTAGCTGAAGATCCAGAAGCTCACAAATGAAAAGCCTCCCTCCAGCTGGCTCATTTCTCACAGCACTGCTACTTGCCAAGTGAAGAAAGTCAGGTTACCTCAACACAGCTCCTGGATTCTGCATTCAAACCCTGGTGTCCAGAACTCCATGCCAAATGCTCCCTATCCCTCCAAAGCAATCCCCAGTGAGGCCCCTGGTCTTTCTGAGGGCCTCTCCTTCCTTTCCGTGTATTCTCCCTTTTAAGCATCACGTAGAGGCATAAAATCAAATACAAATCTCTGAGTTCCGCTCTTCATCTCAAAAACTTATAAATCTGTCCCTGATTAACTCAGGAACAAAGAGAACTACAGAACTGACATGAGTAAGGCTCTGTCTTCAATTCTCCATTAAAATCAGAAAGAGTTTCCAGACCAACAGTGATGCTTACACAAGTGGACTGCATTAAGGAAATCCAACATACAAAAGTCCAATCTTTCAAAACAGATGTATGAGGTCAGTGGTTCCCAATTCTGGCTAGTCATCATACTCAATAGGAGTATCAACAACAACAACAACAACAGCAACAGATTCCCAGTTCCCACTTCCAAGAGATTTGAATTCAGTGTGTCCAGAGTAAAGCCCAGACATTTCTTCTTTTTGAAAAGTTCCTAGGTGATTCCAGTGATCAGTTAGGCTTGGGAACCACTACATTAAGGGACATTTGCCCACTTTATTAGAAGTGGCACCACGGGATTCCCTTATGGCTATACCCTCTGCCGTAAGCATTTAATATAGAAGTTTTAGAATTTGGTTAATCAGGGGTGCCTGGGTGGCTCAGTCAGTTAAGCGTCCGACTTTGGCTCAGGTCATGATCTCATGGTTGGTGGGTTTGAGCCCCGCGTTGGGCTCTGTGCTAAGAGCTAGCTCAGAGCCTGGAGCCTGTTTCAGATTCTGTATCTCCCTCTCTCTCTAACCCTCCCCTGCTCACGTTGTCTCTCTCTCTCAGAAATAAATTAAAAAACATTAAAAAAATAATAATTTTGTTAATCAAAGTTAATCTGTATACCATTTACCAAGAACATGTCTTCTATGTTAAAGTCCTCTAGGAGTGGCCACATTTAGGAAGATTATAGAAAGATTATGAGTGTCCAGTAAGGGACCCACTTACCTCATATTTTCTGTAATTCACCAACAAAGCCAAAAGGACAACAGCATCATACCCATGCTCCCTGCGACTTGGGGGGTGGGAGAGTATCTGTAACACAAACCAGAAATGCATGAGTGCTAACTCCTAGTTCCTAGGAATGCTGACAGAGAAGATTTGAGTAGGTGGTTTACCCAAAAGAGAAAGAGGTGATGGTGGAAATGACCTACCTGTAAAATTGCTTCAAATATGCTGTTGATCATTACATACTCTAGGATAGTGTTCTGGCTGATGTTATCTGTCACCTAAATAAAATAAAAGGCTTTTTAGGGGCGCCTGGGTGGCTCAGTTGGTTAAGCGTCTGACTTTGACTCATGTCATAATCCCATGGGTTCAAGCTCCACGTCACTCACTGCTGTCAGCACAGAGCTCGTTTCGGATCCTCTGTCCCCTCTCTCTCTGCCCCTCCAGTGTTGGTTTTCTATCTCTCTCTCTCCCTCTCTCTCTCTCTCTCTCGCAAGATAAATAAAAATTTTAAAAGAAAAAAGGCTTTTACTGAGGCACCCTGCTATCTCAAGTATAACTCTTCACCCACTATCTAAGAGAATCAGAAATGTTAAAACATTCTCCTAGATACTTAGTAGACTTTCAAAAAGCACCTCTGAAGCTGCCAGAGCCTGAATCATCAGACACCAGAAGGGTAAGAAATTAGCGAATTAAAACTTCCCGAATCTCTGAACTTCCTGTTTCTCTCGCCCCCTCACGTAAGCATTTACTGCGGTTTTCAGGGGGTTTCATTCCTCAAACACACAGAAAGAAGTTAATGATCCAGAAGACTTTGAGTGATGGCAGGGAGAAGGAATTACTTAAGTAAATGAACAACACCCCACCCTCCTCCCAGTAGAAGGTACGGGCCAGCTTCCAGTTATGTCAAAATCAGAACAAATAACCATTCAGAATCACAAAAACTATTTCCAAATGAGACCTGATGAGAAGGGCACATTTGACAAATCAGAAGACAAAGAATTTTCCAGGGGTGGTACCTCTAAGGTGAGAAATATCCTGAAGGCTAAAAATGCCAACAGGTGCTCCAAAGGGCAGCTTCCAGAAGTGAAAGCCCCTTCACCTAACTTCTTTCTACACATTCACACACAATGGAGTGATGTGATTCCCCAGTAGAGAGTTGTTTTTCCTCTTTTCCTTTCTAACTTTAGGCTCAAGCATTCACATAAGCTTACCCCTACTGTCAATGATACCCTTGATAAAGAAACATACAGGTGGGTCACTTACAGTCACTAAGCAAAGGAGAAGTTTCAGACATAAACTCTTCAGACTTTCTGAACCTTCTGCACAAAGCAGTGAATCCAAACTCTCCATCAAGTTCTGAGAAAGAGATTCGTTAAGTATTAAAACATGCCAAATAACATCTCTACTGTGTCTCTGTCCAACTCTGGGTTTATGTTACACAGGGTAATGTATATAACATTCAACGAAGCAACAGTATCACTCCTTTAGGCCTAGGCCGTGCAAGATTAGACAAAGAAAAGTAAAACTTCAAAGTGTAGCTGTGGGGAAAAATGCTTTAGAACAACTGCACAGAATAATAAAGAATTCATTACCTTACCAGATTAATGTTTGTAGCCTGTCATTCTCCTATAAACTTTTAGAATAGAATGAAGTAGGGGTGCCTGAGTGGCTCAGTAGTTAAGCATCTGACTTAGGCTCAGGTCACGATCTCACAGCTCATGGGTTTGAGCCCTGTTTCAGGCTCTGTGCTGACAGCTCAGAGCCTAGAGCCTGCTTCAGATTCTGTGTCTCCCTCTCTCTCTCTGCCCCTCTCCTGCTTACACACTGCCTCTCTCTCTCTCTCTCAAAAATAATAAACATTAAAATAAATTTAATAGAATGATGTAAATTTTTAAAGGCTAATAATAGTGGTTAAATAATAAATTAAAAACAATAATAAACTAATTCAATTAAATTAATTCAATTAAGAAAAATAAGTGGTTAAAAAAGAAAAAAGTGGTTAAAGATTAGTAACAGTTAAAAAAGATTAATAATGGTCAAATAACAATAGATAAGTTTCACTATTCGATAAAATATATCATTTGATGTGGGCACACTGAACAACAAAGAGACAATGCCACTACCGGCTATCACTGGCTGGATACACTATCCAACAAAACCAGTGTGTCCACCTTGGTCGATTCTACTAGACAACGTGACTGGAGCATATCACTTGTACTAACAACCAGCTGTCAGACCCAATGTAATCAAAAGATGGAACCCTCACACACTACAACAGAAGGAAGAAGAAAAGAAATATTTTACATTAAATGAAGGAGGAAAATGAATGAAGAATAGGATTTAGCATGCTGGAAGCTTGAGCGAAGGTTCAAAATAAGCTACTTCAATTCAACAAATAGAGAGTGAAGGTCTGCTATGTGTAAAATATTGTGCTTTCGGGGCGCCTGGGTGGCTTAGTCAGTTAAGCGTCCGACTTTCGCTTAGGTCATGATCTCGCGGTTCGTGCGTTTGAGCCCCGCGTCAGGCTCTGTGCTGACAGCCAGCTCAGAGCCTGGAGCCTGTTTCAGTCTGTGACTCCCTCTCTCTGTCTGACCCCCCCCTGCTCACACTGTCTCTCTCTCTCTCTCCTAGAAATAAATAAAAACATTAAAAAAAAATTAAAAAAAAAAAAAAAGAAATATTGTGCTTTCAAAGAATTCAAAAAAAATAGATAATGACCTTTGCTCTCAAGACATTTTTAGCCTACTGGAAGAGAAAAATAAGCAGTTTTAATTTAATGGTTACTATGACAGAAACATACATGGAGAAGGGTATTAGCTCAGAATTCACCTATTCCAAGACTCCTAAGGGGTGACTTATATTTTGAAAAATCGGTAGGAGCTAGTTAAAACTTGAGGAGGAAAAGAATTCTAGACAAGCAATAACGTGATCAAAGACGCATGAGGAATGAAATGGACCTGGGTGTGCAGTTGGAATAAAAGCGGTTCATTATTATGGAAGTCCAGAGTGAGGCACGGTGGTGAGAGAGGCTGGAGAAATAAAGAGGGAACAGGTCACGAAAGCTATATAACGCTAACTAGGGAGTTTGGGCTTTATCCTGTTATTGATAGGAAATTAATGAAGGGTTTTAAGCAGTAGAGATTTGAGTGTAAGATACATCACTGTGGTATCAGTGTGGACGACAGATTTAAAGATGGTAAGTCTGAAAAGAGGGAGACAAATGAGGACTAATCTAGCAATTTCCTGAGGAAGTTGCCATGTCTTATTTGCTTATGTATCCCCTGTGCCTGGCACATCAGAGCCTAACCAACATTTGTTAAAAGAATGACTGAAAGAGCTCAGGTGAGAGGTAATGGGGACACTGGCGGTAGGGGGAAAAAAAACAAAAGACAGGTATGAGAAATATGAACTGAGGCAAAATTAGCTGAACATGGTGATCATCTGGATATGAAAGATGAGGGGAAGAGTCAAGGATAACTCCAGTGTTGGGCTTAGGTGCCTGAGACGACAGATCGGCCCATTCTGATAGCGAATGAATGAGGAAGAACAGATGAAGGGAAAACAAGGAGTTCCGTTTTGTAGATGTCAAGCAGGAGATACTTTAGGGATATATGAGTGGGTAAATTCAGCAGCTGCTTACAGAGTATACAACTCAGCCTCATGAGGGGATGTTAAGGCTAACAATAGAGACTTAGTAATCAGCATCATATAGACAATAGTGAGAACTATGAGAATGAGAGAGAGATCTGGGATTTTACCATGATATATTCACAGGAGCTGTACAGGCTTAGAAAACTGACTCCAAGTACTAAGTCTTCATGTACTTATAACTGTATATTCATAACTTGTAAAATATAACCTTATCACTATAAGGATTCTTTGTCACATAGATTATTTCAAATTTAGTGAATGACAGAAGACTAGTTCTTCAAAGTTCATATTATAAACAACATTCATTCAAGATAGTGTCAAACATCACAAATCAGATATCTGATAAGGAACTTATATCCAAAATATATAAAGAACTCTTACAACTCAACAATAAAAAAACAAATAACTCAATCTAGAAATGGGCAGAGGATTTGAATAGATATTTCTCCAAAAACATATATGTATACAAGAGAGACAAAAACAACTGTTGACAAGGATGTGGAAAAACTGAAACCCTCATACAGTGCTGATGGAAATGTAAAATGGTATAGTAACTTTGGAAAACAGTTTGGAAGCTCCTTGAAATATTAAACATAGAGTTATCATATGACCCAGCAATTCTCCTATGTATATAAGCAAGAGAACTGAAAACATACATCCACACAAAATCTTGTTCATGAATGTTCATAGCAATATTATTGATAATAGCCAAAATACTGAAATATCCCACATGTCTATCAAGTGATGAATAAATAAAATGATGTGGTATATTCATAAAATGAAACATCAGCCATAGAAAAGGAATGAAGCACTGACAAATGCCACAACATGGTGACGCCTAAAAACGTGCCAAGCGCAAGAAGCTAGACACAGAAGACCACGTATGATTCCATTTACATGAGATGTCCAGAACAGGTAAACCAAAAGAGACATAACGCAGATAAATGGTTGCCAGGGGCTAGAGAGAAGGGGGAATGGAGAATGACTGCTAATGGGAACATGTATTCTTTTTGAAGTGATAAAAATGTTCCACAATTAACAGTGAATATGCTAAAAACCACTGAATGAGGGGTGCCTGGCTGGCTTAGTTGGTACAGCACATGACTCTTGAACTGAGGGTTGTGAGTTCGAGCCCCATGTTGGATGTAGAGATTACTTAAATATAAAATCTTAAAAAAAAACAAAAACACTGAATTATACATTTTAAAAGGGTAATTGTATATGCGAATTATCAATAAAGCTATTATTTTAAAAGTGACAAACACTTTTGATAAAGTGATAAAGTCACTGTGTTACATAAGAAAACTTAAGTTTAGAACTAACGTTACCCTTGTATATTACATTCCCCTTGTTATATTTTATTTGGGTCCATAAGTGTTTTTAAGAATGTATGAGCACATGATATAAATCATAAAATAAACCGCTCATCCTTTATCCTGCAGGGGAAGGATACTTCAAACTTGAATTTCAAATTTTCCTCTATTCAGATAAACAAATCTGTAAAACAAAAATATCCAAATTCAAGAAGAAACTCAACCATTTATATCCACCTGAGTGCAAACCTACGAGTACATTAGCTGTCTGCAGATGGTCTCGGCAAACAGTTGTCAGAAGCAGCCACCCACAAGCCCATCTACAACTTCCGCCTCACCTTCATGCACAGCTCTGCCTTGTCAAAGCCCATCAGCATGTTGATAATGTCAAACCCAGAGGTAGACTTATTCTTTTGATGGACTCCTCGAATGAGCGCACACAAGGTCTGCAGAGATTAGAGAAAGAATTCTTTTATAGAAAGGAAGTCTCAAAATGTGAAGGGCACTGGATCTGTCGCCTCACAGTGCCACCTCAGAGCCTCCTCCTTACACAGCTAACATTCAAATGCTCTATCGCTCTAAGCTTCAAAACCGTCTGAGTCTTACTATGGGCAAAATCCAGACATTGAAAGAGGAATGGCAAGTGAAACTGTTGTCATCCTCTTTTTGGCTGTTGTTTTTTAGCCATCCTCTTTTCGAAGACTGCATTAAGACTAGAAGGTGAATTCAAAAATAAAACCAGTTCTTGGCTCGAGTCATGGGATTGGTGGAACTTTTCCTTTACTTGAAATTCACTATAATCTTTACATAAGTCTTAGTATTTTCAAGAACTACAAAAGTTATTTTGGTCCATATGATAACAACCAACTGCTTCAAAACTTAAATTCATGGGGTGCCTGGATGGCTCAGTCGGTTGAGCGACTGGTTCTTGATTTCGACTCAGGTCATGATCTCACAGTTCATGAGATCAAGCCCCATGATGAACTATGCACTGACAGCATGGAGCCTGCTTAGGACTCTCTCTCCCTCTCTCTCTACTACTCCCCTGCTCGTGCTCGCCCATTCTCTCTCTATCTCTCTCAAAATAAAAAAATAAACATGAAAAAAATCTTAAATTCATACAATCTCCATTCACTACTGACTAGCTGTATAAACCTGGACAAGTTAGTTAACATTTTAGGGCCTCAGTTTTTTCATCCATTAAAGGGGAATGACAATAACAGCACCCATCTCATAGGGATCTCATAGGGATGTTGTGAGAACTATGTGAATAAACACTGCGAAGCACTTGGAATAGTCCCTGGAACTTTATTAATGCTCCAAGAATAGTGTCTGAAACTTTGTTAAAGCTCAACAATTATCAACCATTTTAATAATGTACTATATTTTTATGGGTTACCAAGTGACTTAATGTCAATTTACTTCCACTGAACTAAAAACAGTTTACCATTCATGCCTCCAGAGTGAGCCACTGCAATGACAGGAAGTACAATTTCCAACTTCCATTTCAGCTTTCAGTGAGCCCCTACAACTGCAACACCCGAAATGCAGAATTTACTGTGCCAAAGGTTAACACAACTACAAGATAAACATGGTCCTTCTTTCTGGGTCATCAACTTAACAGGTAATTTCTACAATCTATAGATGAGAAAACTAGGGCTCACAAAGTGATTTACCCAACTAGGAAGTTAGAAACTTAAACCCAATCTATCAAAAGTTCCAGGGGCGCCTGGGTGGCTCAGTCAGATGAGTGTTTGACTCTTGATTTCAGCTCAGGTCATGACCCCAGAATTGTGGGGTCGAGCCCTGCATCAGCACAGAGCTCAGCAAAGAGCCTGCTTAAAATTCTCTCTCCCTCTGCCCCTCTCCCTCATGCTCGCCCACGCTCTCTCTAAAATAAAAAAAAAAATTTTTAATCTCTTCTGATTTTTGCTATAGACTATCCCTACATCATAGTTTCCCCTCTATCTCTTCCTTTCCTCAAATAATCAAGAATTCTGTCAATCTACCTTGGCATTTGATCAAATTATACAATGAACAAGATAACTAGTTTAAGTGTTAATCTGTTTAACCAGGAAGATGGCTCAACAAACATGGCATAGATGTTTATTATTAAAAGGACGGAAGAGGGACACCTGGGTGGCTCAGTCAGTTAAGCATCTGACTTTGGCTCAGGTCATGATCTCATGGCTAGTGAGTTCAAGCCCCACATCAGGCTCTGTGCTGACAGCTCAGAGCCTGGAGCCTGCTTCGGATCTGTGTCTCCCTTTCTCTCTGCCCCTTCCCGTCTCTCTCTCTCTCTCTTTCAAAAATAAGTAACATTTAAAAAAATTTTTTTTAATTTTTTTTTTTTTAATTTCTGAGAGAGAGAGAGAGAGACAGACAGCATGCTAGCTGTCAGCACAAAGCCCAATGCGGGGCTCAAACCCACGAACTGTGAGATCATGACCTGAGCTGAAGTCGGATGCTTAACCGACTAAGCCACCCAGGTGCCCCAAAAAAATTTTTTTTAAAGGGGGAAAAATCCTTCATACCTAAGGGCAATTTTAGTTTCCTCAGGTCCCAACAGATGTGTTACAATTCCTTTCCTTTCCCCTATTAAACAGGACTTCCCCAGTCTCCCAGCTATATACCTGCAGTGCGTTGACAACTCGAATCGGATGTTCTTCTCCCAGAGCCTGGATACAGTGTTGAAATAAGCAATTAATATTGTCCTTGATCTTCATTAACTCCTCACCATCAAGAGATTCCAACTTGCCTTCTAGGTACTCTAAATTCACCTACCAAGGGAATAGCAGGGATATTATTTTTAGTAACATTTTCAGTGTACTGTATTTAATGTGAGTGATTTTAGTGTCACATGAAGAACACAGGAGAAGGCAATTTCGTTAGCAGGAAAATCCAGAGACACCATCAAGTTTACCTTCATAAGGAAGAGCTCCTCCCAAAATCGCGGACTGCACTTACTGGGGTCCTCTGTCTGAAACCAGAAAATAAGCAGTTCAGTATCCTCAGCTAACAATGAAGCATTAAGAACACATCTGAAAGGGTCACTGACACATAATCAACCTTACCTTTCAAAATTAACTTTGAAAATGTTTGGTCTTTCTAAACTGCTATAATAGGGAACAACCATTTTAGAGGCTTTTTCCCCCAAATGGAAGACATTTTGCACAGATATATTCCCTGTGCCACAAGTTAAATAATGGCTCGAAGAATCTCCCCCAAATCTTTCTCTTCTAGCAAGAAGTAAACCTAACCAACTGATTAAGCTAGTCACATTATGATGTCCCTATCGCATCTGTATGTTCTTCAAAGCCCTTTCACATACGTGAAATACAATGGCCCAGAGAGCCAGGAGGAGTAGATGTTATCAGTATCCTCCTTTTAGGAAACAGGGTCCACAAAGTGAAATTACTTACACCACCGGTACAGGAGCCAGAACCTAGATCACATCAGCAGTACTGCATGCTTTTACAACATCCTGTGTTGACTGCTTTCACTTGCCCTCCTGTATGTATTTACTCCACTGTACAGAGCTTTTAATATGGTCTTCCTTAATCCAAATTGGTCCAAAAGGTTAACAAAAGTATAGTGCTAAAAGCCAAAACTTCTTAGCAATAATTTTCAAACAGAAATTCTAAAGAGTCAGAGGCTTCTGGTTAAGGAACAAAATAAGAAAAAGAGAACCTTGACTTTAAAGGAAAACTAATGACATAAAACAAATAGATCAATCACCCACTATCACCCTTAAGTGGATCTTTTAAAATTACTACCAAGAACTATTATCTTCATTAGTTATGAACTCCTGATCTAATAAGAAAATACTTTACTAGGAATCTCTTCTGGATTTTGAACTGAGAATCACAGAGAGAAGCAACATTTCTGGCCTTCTCATAAGGTCATCATTTAGAGATTTCTTTCTATCCCTTTCTCCTAGGAGGGGTCACACTTTGCCTCTCACACTTCTGTAATGTCATTTTTGCTATCTATATATGAAACTCAGACTACTCATGGTGTTGTCACTTCCCATCCTCAACACTCAATCAATAGTTCTATGTATGCCAACCTTACTTCATATAGAGAGAAAGCCCTAACAGGGCTGAGTACCCACTCATTTGCTCTATATAACTACCTATACTGACCTGCACAATTCTGTATTAATTTTCTGCATATCAAACTCTATCTCTAAGGTTTCCCAAGAGTTAGATGTTTTACTTGCCCACATTATTTATTCTGGGCCATGTAGCAAAGTTGAACAAATAAGGGCCCTGGAATCTAACATAGGGTTCAAACCATGGCTCCATCACCTTCCAGATGTGACCCCTAGTTTCCCCATCTGTAAAATGCTCTTTTACATGGCACATGTGAAAACACAGCACTCTTGCAACAGTCTTGTCAGAATTAGAGATGATGTACTTAGTGATGCACTTAGCCAGGCACATCGTAAAATTTCAATACCTTATAACTCTTTTTAGAAGTACTATTCTGTTTTACATATACTAGTTATGATCAGAATTTCAGATAGTAAGTACCCCTTCAGAATATCTAACTACTCTCATCTTCCCTGATAGGGTAAATTTCACAACAAAGGCTTGGATCGTGGTCAATCAGCAATAACGAAGACCCAAAGAAATCGCCAATCTAGTCACTAACAATTCATCAGTTATCTTATAGAGTTGAAGAAGAATGAGATAGACTAAGCAACTGTTCTGTCCATAAGGAACTTGAGATGAAATATAATAGTTCATCTTTTTTTTTTTTATGTTTTATTTATTTCTGAGAGAGAGACGGCATGAACAGGGGAGCGTCAAAGACAGAGGGAGATACAGAATCTGAAACAGGCTCCAGGCTCTGAGCCAGCTGTCAGCACAGAGCCCAACGCAGGGCTCAAACCCACGAACCATGAGATCATGACCTGAGCCAAAGTCGGACGCTTAACCGACTGAGCCACCCAGGTGCCCCAATAGTTCATCTTTTAGAATCATAGAATTCTAGGGCCTAAAGGAACTTCAAGGAACATTTAGGATGAAGAGTCCTTAAGTTGGGTCATGCAGATGACAAATTTCTTAAAGATATTCAGAAAAAATGGCATGCCTGGGTGGCTCAGTCAGTTAAGCATCTGACTCTTGGTATCAGCTCAGGTCACGATCTCATGGTTCATGGGTTCAGGCCCCGCATTGGGCTCTGCACTGACAGCATGGAGCCTTCTTTGGATTCTCCTTTTCCTTCTCTCTCTGACCCTCCCCCACTCACACACACTCTCTCTCAAAATAAACATTTTTTAAAATATATATTCAGAAAAAAACCTTTCCAGGGTTTCCTACCTCCTTTCAATTATTTTACCCAGCTCATGGCAACAATCTGTAAGAACAACATAATAACAATCTATATAAATTAACACATGATCATAATGTCTACCAGAAGAGAGCTCACTCTCATCCTCGCTCTCATTCTTCCTCTAACGAACTGGAAGGTAGCAGAGGTGAACTTATTTCCCATTTTGGTACAAGAAACTAAGGAGTCAATCTTTGCAGAATTGTCAGAGCTCCAGGCCTTACCATGAAGATCTCATCATACATCAGCACCACTTTTTCCTTCAGCGGTTTTTTGGAGGCTGAAGATTTCCGGAGCAAACCCCCTCGTTTCTCCACCTGTGCCATGGTTAGAGAATCTGTGAAAAGAAAGCCAGAGTACGTGCTATAAATGCTCTCCAAGATGCTGGATAGTCTGTTGAAAAGCTCTTAATGGGAACTTTTTTAGGAAGAAGAGAAAAATGATAAACCATGTAACAGATCTTGTGCATCTGTCCAACACTTCATCCCCTGACCAGGTAATTTCAAGGCTTAAATCATTACTTGGCCTACAGCAAAACACATTTTACATCTTTAAAACATGCCAGTAGACGAGGGTTACACCAGATCCAAAACCAGGAAAGAAAGTGTAACTAGCTCCAACTAGAATAGATCTGGCCATATATTTGAGGTTGATGGAAGGAAGGCTGCAAAGCACACATTGCCCACAGACTGATGGTGAAGTTAAATTACAAGTATTGATTGAGCTCAAGACCATTAAGGCAGGAAGTGTGCTGCAGACTGCTGTGCTCCATTGATTTCCCCAAAGTAAGTAAGTCCTCATCACTGCAAAGTACTTGGCCTTCACTGCCTCATAAATCATACTGCACTTGACGGTCTTCAGAAATTCCTCTCGAAAGAGACCCGAGGCAGAAAACAGCAGTTATAAGGACAAAAATTAAATCTGATTTCAAAATAACAAAATATAACAATCTACTCCTTTCAAATCTAATTATATGCATGCATATATATATATTTATAACACTATCACAGATCAAACTTCACTGTACTTTTCAATTCTATATAAAAGCAATTTCATGAATCATACCCAATTTCCCCATCTTGTTTCAAGGAATTTCAATTTTTTACAAGGGAGAACTTGAAATCCCACAGGTCTCCACTGTGAATTTACACATTCCCCTCACTTCCCAGATTCTTTCTACTGTCGACAAAATTCCTGACTCTCTCTTAAATTCTAGGCTCTAGTTGTGAAACTAATCTCACCCAATGGCAAGTGTGGGCAGTAGCAAGGAGCCTGATTTTACTTCCAAACAAACCCAAAGCAGCAGAACAAAATTAATTTTGTTCAATGACTTTTGGAAAATATGTGCTGTATGTCAAATCAAAATCAAAATTTTATTTAAGGAAGAGATGCATCCAACAGCCTAAAAGACTGTATTCTCAGACACTGTCTTTTTCTAATAAATAGCCAAAAAGGAGATTTACCTTTGAGCACAAAAAACATAAGCACAGAAAATTTCTCCACTAGATATTCAGCATCTTTGGCACAGGGACTATATCTCATCCTTTTTTTTTATAAGCACTATGGTCCAAAGAAAACTGAAGGAAAAAATAACAACAACATCCGAGAGAGAGAGAAAGAGAGAGAAAGAGAAGATTCTTTTGGGCAATTTACACTATATTGATCATGCCTTTGCCTTAAAGAATGAAATACAGCCTCTGTTCAAAACATTCCTGTGTCTTTTAAATAGGTTGTCAAGAGGAAGATGTCCTTATCGAGGGAAAATAAATTGGAAATCAACAGGATCCTATTAAAATAAATCAAAAGCAATGCAATTCTAAACTTAGTGGATATAGATCTTTCATGTGTTCAGCTTCAACCAGTTGATTAGCGGGAATAACAGGAACCACTAGTTCATGGGTGTGAGAAGCGCCTGTTTACAAACATGGCCCTCTGAGGATTTATAATTGGGTTACAGCTAATCAATGTCCACCCCAAATCTAATAAACTCACTTTCTCTATTTCAAAATCAATATTTTCTAATAAGCAAAAAGGAATAGGAGAGGAGGGAAAAACAATTCCATCCAAAGTACCAGATTTCCTAAGAAGTTAAATTCTTTTCATCATTCTTCCCCATTTGAAGCAGGGGGAAAATTCAGCCAAGGGCCTTGTCTCATTACTCTCTGTCATCATCACAGGCAATCGGAATTTACCACCCAAGGTGCCTGAAATGTGACTGGAAACTGACAACATAGAGTCTCCATCTCCGGCCAGTACTTGTACCCATGGAACATAGATAACAATGCTTCTAGGGTGGAAGAATGAGAGAAGTGTGGAACTCTGTATTACAGAGTTTTGAGGGTGGGGGGGAATTTCAGAAATTAAGACTCTGCTCTTAGAAAGTAAAATATCTGACTGGTAGAGCACATCAGTACCATGAATGTAATTTGTTTATGTCCTCTTGGTGTTTTTCCTCCCCTTTCACAACCCTCCTCTTTGTAGAAAACCAGCAGCAGCTGAGGAGCAGCAAAGCATAATGGACCAACCAGCAGAACTGAGACTAGAACACAGGTGTTCCAGCCATCCAGATGAAATAGAGTTGAGTCATTGTGTTTCCTGGTTTCCTTACAAGTAAAACAAGGCCCTGGACTAGACATATCATTGAATAATTCTTTCAGCATCACTGAAATACCACAAACACATAAGAAACACCTAGGGGTGCATGGGTATCCCAGTCAGTTAAAACATCCAACTTCAATTCAGGTCATGATCTCACCATTCATCGGTCCAAGCCCCACGTCACTCTGTGCTAACAGCACGGAGCCTGTCTTGGATTCTCCCTCCCTCTCCCTCTGCCCCTCCCTGACTCATGCTCTCTCTCTCTCAAAATAAATACATAACAAAATTTTTTGTTGTAAAAAAACAAAACAAAAAACCCACCTAAATGTTGCAAGACACTAATTTAAGCACTATGAGGTTACAAAGATGAAACTACAGAGCTGATCCTCAAGAAGCTCACAATGATTGGCAGAGACAGACATATTAGACACATGATAACCCCACAGCACTAGGCAAATCATGCGAAATAGAATAAAAGTACAAAGAAACTGCTATGGCACCATGAGGAAGGGAAAGAAGCATTTTATGACTACACTATGACCTCTGTTGATCCGGGCTTTTAAATCCTTCTGGCAAAGCAGCAAATACAGCAAAGCCACTGTAATCCCACAGAAATGCCATCTTAGGCTTTAACACATTTTCTCAGAAATAAAGATATAATAGGCATAGTATAAAAAAGAACAAGGCAACATATCAATCCTAATATCACCTACCATCAAACTCAGGAGTGGTTTCAAATCCCCCCAACCCAATGGTAAATGGTAAATCAATGAAGTCTTTTATTCCTAAACCTCAGGGACTGCCAATCCCATGACCTGCAGAACAACTTCTCTCTGAAAGACTCAAGTCATACAACTTTTTACGCGTTACATCTTAAGGCAATCCAACCACAATGTCTTAAGTGCACATCACTTCATATCCCTTCAGGGTCAAATAACCAAATATCAAGATTTTAAAATCTAAAGCCAAACTCTTCCAAACTCTTCCAATGCCTAATATGCAAGAAATGCTAGTTATACTAAGCAAGTTAGTTATTCATTTACTTTATTGTGTTCTTGAGTACAATATATGCCAACTCTAGTAGCAGTAAAGTAATTTAACAGAAATTCACTGTAATTTCCAGAGTTACCAGGGTTAAACTATCAAAAGTCTATTATATTGTATTGTATCTACATGAGATGACAGAGGTTAACAAAACCCGAGGTAATCAATTCACAATATATGTAAATAAAATGATCACCTTTTACAGTGATGTCTGTCAGTTATTTTTCAATAAAACGGGAAAAAAATCTAAAAGCAAAACGTCTAGGGGCGCCTGAGTGGCTCAGTCAGTTAAGCATCTGACTTCAGCTCAGGTCATGATCTCGCCATTCCTGAGTTCAAGCCCTACATTGGGCTCTGTGCTGACAGCTTAGAGCCTGGAGCCTGTTTCAGATTCTGTGTCTCCCTCTCTCTCTGCTGCTCCCCCACTCACGCTCTGTCCTTCTTTCTCTAAAAATAAAAATTTTAAAAATTAAAAAAAAACATTTAAAAGCAAAATGTCTTGAGTTTAAGTCCCAATTCTTATACATTCATTCTATAAAGTTTAGTTTCCTGCCCTCCCCTGGGCTTCAACTTGCCAATTTGTAAAAAGAAGCACTGGCGAGGATGTGCAGAAAGGGAACCTCTGTGCACTGTTGAGAACAGCCACTACAGAAAACAGTATAGAGGTTCCTCAAAATATCAAAAATAAAACTATGATATGCTCTAGCAGTCGCACTTCCGGGTATATATCCAAAGGAAATGAAATCACTGTCTCATTAAAGAGATACTGGCATCCCCATGTTCACTGTAGCATTATTCACAATAACCAAGATATGGAAACAACCTAAGTGTCTTGTCAATAAATGAATGGATAAAGAAAATATGGTATACACATACAATGGAATAGCATTCAGCCACAAAAAAGAAGGAAATCTTGCCATTTGCAACAACATGCATATGCCTATGTGAGATGATGGATGAATGGGGTTTTTTTTTAATGTTTATTTATTTTTTAGAGAGAGAGAACAGCAGAAGAGGGACAGAGAGAGACGGAGACACAGAATCCGAAACAGGCTCCAGGCTCTATGCTCACAGCACAGGGCCCAACACAGGGCTAGAACTCACAAACTGTGAAATCATGACCTGAGTTAAAGTCAGACGCTCAACTGACTGGGCCACCCAGGAGCCCCATGCATGAATATTTTAATTAACCTTATCATCACAATCATTCCACAATATATATGGGTATCAAATCACCACACTGTACACCTTAAAATTATATATCAATGTTATATATCAATTATAATCTCAATAATACATCAATTACATCTCCATAAACCTGGGAAGAAAAGCCATGGAACAGCTCTTGACAGGCTTTCCAAATTTAATGGCCTGGGGTTCTAGGTTCATATTGGTAATGGACTGTCAGCAAGTCTCACCTTCTCTTCACTAGTAAGGGAAGCTCCAAAACACCACCTCTAGGCAGATGCTGAGGTAAACATCCTAAAACATTTCAACAAGTATACAAGAAAAAAGAGAAAGAAGAGGAAAAATGAGAAAGAAGAAATGAATAAAAACGAATATGCCCACCTTCTAGAAAGAAAAAACATATGCACAGATCAGGCATTCATTCATTCTACAAATACCTATTGGGCACCTTTTTGGTGCTAAGCACTAGGGATACAGCAGTGAACAAGACAGGTAAGATTTCTGCTT